TATAGTTTCAATAATGGGCGTGCCCTAATACTTAAGAAAATAGATTACAAAAGTACGTTTGTGTCATATGAACTTCACATTATCAAATATCAGTGTCCTTGTCAGTCATCTAAGATGTTTCTAAATATATTTACACTCTAAACTGTCAAGTGTTGATGTCATATAACTGTCAATTTATGACTAATTCTTATTTCTACGGAAAGGAAGAAAATGGATGGATATCAGCTGTTGGAAATGAAATGTCTACAAAAAATGATTAATAATTCAGACTTTACCAACATGAAGTATTTAATCAAAATATGCGAATATATAGAAAATGCTACTAGTTTTTATACCAATTAAAAAGTTTGAAAACTGATTTCTTTCTCCGTGTCATTTTTTTTTAATTTTAACTCATTGCCACAAAACCAAAGATGTTGTCTCTTTAAAACTCTTTACTTGTGATTTTTCTAATTTAAAGCATTAAGTGCTATGAAAAAGGTTTCGAGAGTAAAGCAAGATATTTCATGTGTGTTTGGTTTTAAAAATTAATACAGAAAAAAGGGTTGTTTTAATTGTATTCTCCCATTTCTGTCAACAAGATTAATCTCAATCATTTCCCCAATATATGACGAATGAATGATAATGAATGTGTTGACGATAAAAAATTCCTTTACGGAAAGCGCCGAAGGCTCCCGATTTGGGGTCTATTTCTCGCAATTTAGGAAAATGAAATGAAATCCTAATAAAAAAAAATCATTGTAAAATAAGATTAATTTTTAAAACGTCGTCTGGTTCATGAATTTTCTGTAGAGTCCATCCGTTTTGTTTTAAACTCTAAATAAACAGAAAATTCCAACCATCGGGAAAGACAATCCCTTACGGTATTTCGAACTAGTTCGTACTGATATTATCATTTCAAATATTATTGAGGTGTGGCACATTGTTACGCTTGATTAGAAGATGGGCAACGCGTGGTAGAATCAATCTTATTGAACCTGTTGGCTATTGCTATAAACGTTAATTTTCTAATATTCGGGGACAGATTAAGGCCACGAAAAACCTTCAAAAATGCATTATGTAATATCAAAGAAGATACTCAACTTCATGACTTAAGTGAAAAATACATAGTTTTTGCTTCAAGCTTTAAGTAATATTTCGGAAATTTTTTATCAATTGAAAAAATATTTACAATCACTTATTCAAGTCCATCAATGTAAAACAATGTTCGATAATTATCGTCTCACCATCAAGAAAGTACCTCTATCACATATAAAGTCTGAAATAAAAGGTTGAAACATTGTTGGTGGCATACAATTTGATAAGTTTTTCTCCATCTTCTACCATATCAATAGCGACCCTAACTCTTAAAACTAACGCTGCATTCCATATCTACTGTACAGACAATTTACTGCTGAAAGGAGAATTAAGTCAAATACCAGTACGTCAAGCAAGACAATTTTTTAAAAGTCATTCATATCAGTTTTTTTTCGAATTAATATCTATCGATGGTTAAATCTCTATCACAGTCGAGTACATAATAGTTTTCGAAAAGTATCAGCGAATTCTGAATATCACCTAAGCTTATTGGACGTATCGTTTTTTGTTCCTGTAATGCAAAATCCTGTGTAAATAGTCACTAAAGCGTCTATAGTCTATAATCTTCAGTAAAATACATAGAGCAAAGTGTAATTATGCAGTTTTACAGATACACACGAGGCCAAGCCGCCACTGACTGGATAATACACATTAGGAAATGTGATAACCTTCTTAATCTGAAGCTGGTATAATAACAAAGACTGGAAATTTGAGAGTGAAAAACCAAAACAGCACGTAAAAATAGAAATAATGCATTCCTTACTTGAGTTTCTAGACTTGCCACGCAAAAGTTCAACTGATGCCCTGCGTTCCTTTATTTTGTTAACACTTGGAAACACTCTGGTGCTTTTTTTATCTATTCACATTCACATCTTACACAAGCATTTACAAACTGCGCAAAAGGAATGTCGCCCTTTGTATTTATACATCCACTTGATACAGAATGAAACAGATAAGATATTTTCCCGATGTTGAAGACAATTCCTGTGCACATATTGAATATAATTTTAAGGAAACACAATAACCCAGCAGGACATCTCACTTGATCACATCCTAATGAGCCAGAAGAAAAGACAAGAACGCTGAATGAAGGGTCATTTGTATCAAGCTATAGTACAGCGTTAGTATATACCTTGTACCTCATTGTCAACACACACGATTCGGGGTTATAATTATTATCAATATCTATACACGGGTATTTAAGGGCGGACTCTTGGTGTAAATGAGATGTGTGCTTATGAGTGTGAGTGTTTTTGAGGTATGCTGAACTGAAGGCGAAGGACATATGTGACATCCCACCTAATCACATAATATTGATCCAGGCAAGAATATTCCACCTGATCACATATATCGACCCCAGCAGGGCATCTCACGTGATCACATTATATCGGCCCCAGCAAGGCATCTCACGTGATCACATTATATCGGCCCCAGCAAGGCATCTCACGTGATCACATTATATCGGCCCCAGCAGAACATATCACCCGATCACATATATCGGCCCCAGCAGGGCATCTCACGTGATCACATTATATCGGCCCCAGCAAGGCATCTCACGTGATCACATTATATCGGCCCCAGCAAGGCATCTCACGTGATCACATTATATCGGCCCCAGCAAGGCATCTCACGTGATCACATTATATCGGCCCCAGCAGAACATATCACCCGATCAGATATATCGTCCCCAGCAGAACATAGCACCTGATCACATATATCGGCCCCAGCAGAACATAGCACCTGATCACATATATCGGCCCCAGCAGAACATAGCACCTGATCACATATATCGGCCCCAGCAGAACATAGCACCTGATCACATATATCGGCCCCAGCAGAACATAGCACCTGATCACGTTATATCGGCCCCAGCAGAACATATCACCCGATAACATATATCGGCCCCAGCAGAACATATCACCTGATCACATGATGTTGACCTCACCAGAACATATCACCTGATCACATGATGTTGACCTCACCAGGACATTCCGCGTAATCAGATTATTGTTGACAGGGCATCCACGTTGTTCAGATAGCTGAGTGAGCTTTAGCAGGGAGTAGCAATTACTAGATACTTTAGTATAACGTGAAATAATCCCAGATTTAACCGCCTTTTTCATACGATACGAAAAGGAAAGAAATTAACAAAACATCATACAAAGACGAAACATAACACAACGACAGCTCCATTGTACAAAGTATAGGAAGATTTAAACAAATAAACAAAAATAAAATGTACATACAATGGCGGTTTATCTCAGCAGACTAAAGCGCGTGCACACAGGTGAGAAATACACCCCAGCCTAAGTATAAAATATAACACAGTGTCTACACAACAGTATAAGATATAACACGTCTACACACAGATATAAAACATAACACAACGTCTATACACAAGTATAAAATATAACACAGCGTCTACACACAAGTATAAGATATAACACAGCGTCTATACACAAGTATAAAATATAACACAGCGTTTACACACAAGTATAAAATATAACACAGCGTCTACACACAAGTATAAGATATAACACAACGTCTACACACAAGTATAAAATATAACAAAGCGCCTACACACAAGTATAAAATATAACACAACGTCTACACACAAGTATAAAATATAACACAGCGTCTACACACAAGTATAATATAAAACACAGCGTCTACACACAAGTATAAAATATAACATAGCGGTACACACTCGTATAAAATATAGCACAGTGTCTACACACAAGTATAAGATATAACACAAAGACTACACACAAGTATAAAATATAACCCAGCGTCTACACACAAGTATAAAATATAACCCAGCGTCTACACACAAGTATAAAATATAACACAGCGTCTACACACAAGTATAAAATATAACCCAGCGTCTACACACAAGTATAAAATATAACACAGCGTCTACACACAAGTATAAAATATAACCCAGCGTCTATACACAAGTATAAAATATAACACAGCGTCTACACACAAGTATAAAACATAACACAGCGTCTACACACAGGTGTAAAATATAACACAGCATCTACACACAAGTATAAAATATAACACAACGTCTAAACACAAGTATCGAATATAACACAAAGACTACACACAAGTATAAAATATAACACAGCGTCTATACACAAGTATAAAATATAGCACATCGTCTACACACAAGACCTTAAAAGTTATAAAAACATGTTTGTACACACAGGTGGAAGGAGAGGTGAACACAAAGACTACACACAAGTATAAAATATAACACAAGGTCTACACACAGGTATAAAATATAACACAGGATCTACACACAAGTATAGGAAATATCAGAGCTGAAGGAAAGGCCTGCAAAGTCAGAGCTGACACACAAGTATAATATAAAACACAGGGTCTACACACAAGTAGGGTAAAATATAGGCCTGGAAAGTCAGAGCTAACACAAGGCCTGGAAAAATGAAGGAAAGGCCTGCAAAGTCAGAGCTACACACAAGTATAATATAAAACACGGAGGGTCAGAGGTGACACACAAGTATAAAATATAGGCCTGGAAAGTCAGAGCTGAAGGAAACACACAAGTATAGGAAATATAAGTCAGAGCTGACACACAAGGTGGAGGGTAATATAAAACAAAGTCAGAGCTACACACAAGGCCTGGAAAAATGAAGGAAAGGCCTGCAAAGTCAGAGCTGAAGGAAAGGTCTGGAGGGTAACAGAGGTGACACACAAGTATAAAAGGTAACAAAGGTCTACACACAGGTGTAAAATATAACTGGAAAGTCAGATCTACACACAAGGTGGAAAATATAAGGAAAGGCCTGCAAAGTCAGAGCTGAAGGAGAGGTCTGGAACACAGGTGAAGGACTACACACAAGTGAAGGAAATATAACACAGGGTCAGAGGTGAAGGATAATAGGCCTGGAAAGTCAGAGATGAAGGAAAGGCCTGCAAAGTCAGAGCTGAAGGAAAGGCCTGCAAAGTCAGAGCTGAAGGAAAGGTTTGTAGGGTCAGAGATGAAGGAAAGGCCTGGAAGGTCAGAGGTGAAGGAAAGGCCTGGAGGGTCAGAGATGAAGGAAAGGTCTGGGGGTCAGAGGTGAAGGATAGGCCTGGAAAGTCAAGAGTTGAAGGAAAGGCCTGGAAAGTCAGAGGTGAAGGAAAGGTTTGGAGGGTCAGAGGTGAAGGATAATAGGCCTGGAAAGTCAGAGCTGAAGGAAAGGCCTGGAAAGTCAGAGCTGAAGGAAAGGCCTGCAAAGTCAGAGCTGAAGGAAAGGTCTGGAGGGTCAGAGGTGAAGGAAAGGTCCGGAGGGTCAGAGGTGAAGGAAAGGTCCGGAGGGTCAGAGGTGAAGGATAATAGGCCTGGAAAGTCAGAGCTGAAGGAAAGGCCTGGAAAGTCAGAGCTGAAGGAAAGGCCTGCAAAGTCAGAGCTGAAGGAAAGGTCTGGAGGGTCAGAGGTGAAGGAAAGGTCCGGAGGGTCAGAGGTGAAGGAAAGGTCCGGAGGGTCAGAGGTGAAGAAAAGGCCTGAAGGGTCAGACATGATGGAAAGACCTGGACGGTAATAATTGAAAAGGTATAAATGATTATTAAGGACCGGGAAAAGTGTCGGTGTATTCATATTAAGCCTTGTGTTTGAAAGCTTAATAATCTCTCCTGAGTGTTGAGATCCCCCTTTCTCCCACCTCTGCCCATATAGGATAGATATTTCTCCCACCTCTGCCCATGTAGGATAGACATGTCCAATGTGGAACACCCATGGAGGATAAATCTATCCCACATGACTGCACTCGGTGACCTCAGTCGGCTATCACAACTGACTCAAACCGACGAGTGAATGCTTTGTTTGCAGGTTCCGTAATGCGCGACTGTAACATCACAGTTAACATTAATTATAACAATCCTTGTCCAGTGAACACAAATAAACGTCGGAGGATCATCTATGACTGATTCTGAATGAACACGCGTGACACTCACACCATTGCAATTTTTCGCGCGCATAAACAATTGACGTCATTATAAATTGGGAAATCCCCTTTTTGTCCATGACATCGCGGCAAGCCTACCCTACCTTAATAAATGATACGGAGTTAAATGTTGTTCAATACAAGTATTTCCATGTATCTATCGGTAAATAAAATATTTAATTTCTAAAAAATAAATATTTCAAATGGTTATTCATATTGCGTTTGTAGTCTGTCATTTTGCTCTCGCGGAAGAATGTAGAATTTTGGAATGGTGAATGGTGATATTCATGCGCCATTCAGACACTTGTACCGTGGGATTTTTGTTTTTTTTTTTACGTCGTGGCGGAAATAATGGGGTGGGAGAAAAATAATCAACCCCTACCCTCAGAGGATGTGACAGAGAAATCTCCAACCCGAGCGGTGATTTTTGTTGTTGTCTAACCCGAGGCTCTCACCCTCAGGGTAGGGGAAGATTCTATTAATCTCACCCTAAACGGAGTGATTGAACATTTCTTCCTTACCCTCGGCGTATGAACAACGATTCCCACGCCTCAAGACGTTTCACGCGTCGTGATTTAATGTTACACATAAATTAGTTCTTATGTAACATACACTAAAACGTCAAATAAAAATGAAATAAAATCTTGATACTTTTATATACACATATATATAATAGTACATTACGATAACAGGTTTTTCATGTTTGAGAATAACACAAGATTTTAGAAGTAGACGGATAAGTGTATGTGTGACCTCATTTAAGTAGTTCCACTTCCGGGTCACCTCAGTGATGTCAAAGAGCACGTGTTGCTTGTCTCAACATTAGGGCGAGACAAGGAAATCCCATACTGGGAAAAAGCGTGGATTTATCTGTCCAGGGTAAAAGAATCCCGAATCCATCTAAGCGATTAAGTCGTATTACAATGATTGCTTTAGATCTAAACCTTCGGATCACCATAGACTATCAGTTATTGTGATACCCTGATGTAAATATTTAAAAAAAAACACGCAACTTAAACGTTTAATAAATAGTACTATTGAACAATATGTCTTTATTTGCAAAGTGTTAGTTAACTTCGTGCATTGGACCATCCATCTTCAATCTTTCTGAGATTTTTAACAAATGTCATTAGACCGCCATGTATTAGGGTACCCTAATGTACACAAAGTTGAAATGACGGCAGTTGTCAGTTCGATCCCTTATATCATGTGTGCCCTCCTCGAACAACTATGGCGTCTCTACTTCTGCGTGGCAAAAATTTCATGAGGACATTGATTGTCAATAGAGGCATGTAATTTCAGTCCACGGTAAGTGCGTTTGCCACTTGGCGGAGGTTATTCAGGATGGTTTGCTTGGTTCCGATCTCTATCAAATTCATTCCACAACTGTTCGATATGAAACAAATTGGGGCTATATGGAGCCAATCAACAGGGACGATGTTCTGGGTTGCAAAGTTCCTATAAACTATTGCAACGTGTGGCCTAGCGTTATTTTAATTAAAGCACAATAGGAGGCATCAAGATCTCGATAGCGTACAGCCGTTAAATCCCCGTTAATTATCACTAAAGGTATCTTTAAACCATAGGAAATGCTCCCCAAACTATAGCCAATCCGCTCCCAAATCTGTTGTGTTCCAAAACACAAGCGTCTTCAGGACGCTCTCTACGACGCCGATACACATGTTAACGGCCATCTGATCGAAATAACGTGAATCGACATTCACCCATAAAGAGCAAGGACCTCCAACGTCTCGTAGGGAAACGTCTGGGCACTTACGACGTGCTCGACGTTGAGGTGTCAGTGTCAAACGTACTGGTGACGTGGGCATCAATTTGCCTCTCGCAATCTATTTTAACACAGTTTTAGGGTGGATTTGACGGTGTCGGCTGTCGTTAACCTCCTGTCAGGCAAGTGGGCAAGCCTATTGAACTGATCTTGACGTCTCGACGTCACACTTAGACGTCCGGATCTCGGTATCTCATCAACATTAACCGACTAATCTATGATTTGTGAAGTGAGTAGCGACCTGCTGTTAACTGCCTCCTACCTTCAGCAATGCGAGAACCCGCCCTGTCCTCTATAAGGTTAGGATAGTCGTGTCATATTTGTATAACAATTATTGATTGTAAATCTATTGGCGACCACTCGTCTTGGTGATAGTCAAAAGCTGACACTAGTTTAAATGAAAAAATACACCTGTATTCAGGCGCACCGGATGTGGATAAGTTTTTTGTCACGGTCGACGGGTTTTTAACATTTATCGTTGGATTAGGTAAGGTACCCTAATATTCCTCTTTTTATATAACTATGTATATAACACAAGATATTTTACAATGTTAGGTATGATTGTATAAATTCCTATTGAATGAAGACAGTAGGTTATGTCAAACAGTTATTTCTGTAAGACATTAAGCCTTGAATGCAATCAAATGCCATTCCTTATTGTAGGTCGGCTATATACGAGGAGTGCAACGGCTTAAAGATCAAAGTATGCTGCGAAATGTGTCCCCATCGAATATCGATGACTGATGAAAAATCAGTGACAATGATGAAAACGTTTCGATCTCACCATCGTATAAATCTCGCGTTCTCGGAATGAACGATCGTAAACGAAAAATGAAGCCTAGCAAAACTTCGATATATAGGCAGGCAACCGGGTTACTTTGATACGTAAATTCGGTTTTATAAACGAGTCATAGAAGTTTTCATTTTCTAAGATTCATAAAATCCCATATAAAAAGAAAAAAAAACAAATTTAAGATCCTTTTTATACCATAAAAAAGCTACATTTTGTTCTAAAGTTTTAAAGTCAAAATATGGAGGCAAAATCAAAAGGATGAAGACATTTTGTGTTACACCATTTTCAATCCATGTTATAACATCACAATCGATTTGTGATTGGCACAGCCAAAGAAAACGCTGAAGAGTATATCACACTTGTGACATATACAACACTAATGCATGGGCGAATGTATCAGATAGGAAGTCGATTATATAACGACGTGGCCTTGACGAGATGAGCCTTGTCACCAATAACTTTCCGTAAGTTTCCGATAAAAACGCGCTTCTACACCTTTATAACTCGTGTACTTATCTAGGCAGCTACTACCCTGCACACGCACACGTTGAATTTCAAAGTATAGTGCACTGTTTCCGCATCATAACTTTCTAATTTAATTGTTCACTGATTTTAAAAGATCGTAAAATGTGATTTACGCTGGTAACAGGTCATAGCTTTTAGTCACCGCGACGTAAATTACGAGTCCATTCACTTACCCATGGCCCATTATCTAAGCCGAGTTGACTTGTCAAACGGCACAGAAAAAATATGGATGGGCAAACACAGGGCTTATCAATATCGGGCATCTTCGTTATGCCTATGGCTAACAACACCAATAAATTACTGCAGGACTGGCTAGATATTTAAAGTTAAATTCAAACTGAAAGTAATCTTTACAAAAATTCAGAAAACTATGAAAAAATGTTCTTTATTGGGCCACGCATGATTGAATTCTCTGTATGACTCGTTGACTAGTGTTTCGCTGAGTGTTATTTATTATCTTAACGGATCAACACTTGAAAGGTGTGTGTATTCAGTGTTTGTTTCTTGGCTTTTAACATCTGCCCAACCATGACACAGTAAAAATGACAAGGACGCCATTTTGACAACAAATCATCAATTTTACATAATTTCAATTTTTTGCGGCCTGCAAAAACTTAACAGATCTAGAAAATGTCTGTAAGACAAAAACACACACACTTAGATGCAATCAAGTATCATAGTTTCATCGATTTGAGAAAATTTGTCAAAAATGACCTTTGACTCTGTAACCTTGACCGACCACCTTTACATACATTTATATAAGGTATAGATCATGATATTATGATACTATTGGGTAAATATGAACCAATATAATAAGACGCTCTCAAAATATGACAATGATTTAGAACAGAGCACGACGCACTTGCACGGGAACGGGCGCACACGAGGAAAATGGCGCAATGAATCAGAACAGGACGCGGCGCGCGGAACGAGGAGACGGACGGACACGAATAAAATGGCGGAGCATAAAAACTAAATGTTTGATCATTCTTAGAATAATATTCCCGGTGGTAACATGTGGACTCCGTCGAGAAATTTGATGACCTAGTCTTAAAATGACACGCTTCCCTCGTTAGATAATAGGTAAAATTCCTCATGTGCAAACAGATTCCATAACCAAATTGCCATTATTTTTCATCACTCAGGTACGACTTTTGACTCAAGTTATTTAAATTTGTCAGCCGATTTGGAGATACAATAGAGGAAATGGGTGATCTCAGGATATCTTAGGTTGCATGACACGAAGCTCCAGTGAGCCCCTGGAATGTTGTAGCAGTTCGTCCTTCCTTCCGCATTGTCCACGCGCGCAACGGCTCATGGGACATCTACATCATGTATTTAAGAAGTAATAGATAAATAAAATAATAATATAATGTCCATGATCAAAACATTAAAATGCTTTGGAGGCTAAACAAGTCATCAGGGAACGCTTTATAATGACTATGATACCGAAACAAGTATACGACCAACACTTTTTACATCATCCGCCTTTTTCGTCGACCATATATCTTATTTTCAGTTTGACTTTTCCATTTCCTGACAGTATTATTCTCGCTTCTCAACCTATGCTGTTTTGACATTTAAGACAGCCCTTGTGGATCGTTTTCAATACATATTTGTGAGCAATGTACGTTGAGTGTCATCACATTGGGATCCCTTTATGCGATAGGAAGTTCAATTTAATCAATGTCCCGTAACATATGTACTAAATTTTGATGTTATTTCCCCGGTTCTCGTTTTGATAACGCGCCATTACCAGAGTCTTTCTACAATTCACGTAGCGGGTGCTGTCGATGACTCGGACGCTAACCTTTCCGAATTATCTAGACTATCGCCGTGTCGATTCTTTGTTAAAATTACTGTTTGGTTGATAAATTCATGAATTTCAATGTTTTCTTTATCTGTCAACTGGGTGTTCCTATCAAGATAGCCTTTTCTAAGTAATCTGATTGCGAAATATAGCCTTTTATCATGGAAATTATCTCAACATATTTTTATGGCAACAAAGCGCAGACATCACAGAAATCGTGACGAACAGAATCGAGTAGCGGAGGTAACAGGAATGTGTATGTTATTATGTATAACATTATGATTCAAATATTACTTTCTAAGTTTCATCTTAATACATATCCAACAAAGATGTCTTACATCTCCAAGAAAAGGAAAAAAATATTTTCTTTTGTGGAAACAATAAAAGGTAGATTAACAAACAATGTAAAATGCTGATAAACTCTTCTCTAAAAGTACAAACAACTGTATATCAGGTTTTAGTATCGTTGCATTGTATATTGATGTTGCTGATTAAAGGATAGACAAATACATGTGCATATAAATCTTAAAAGCATCTTGGCAATTTAAAAAAACACACATTAACAATTACAATATGCATAGAATCACGCGACGCGATCACCCGCTATCTGTTGTAGCTCATCTCAAAAATCTGAGACGTGTTGATAATTAATGTAAACATAAACCATACGACTCATATCATCTCATCGGTCCTGGGGGTGCTTTCTATACAACATAATTATGTTCGTTTAGTAAGTAATCACATCAACAAAAATTTAGGGTTAAAATGTTATCAGTTTTAGACATGTTACCAAAAGCCAATTTTCCTATTATAATAAGGTGTTCCCCATCCTTAACCCATCGGATAGTATTCGTGATTCTTTTTATCTCACGATCTGACACACAATCCCCAAATCCACCCTTCGTCGTGCCTCCTATTCCCCCAATAGCCTTCACGAACCCCTCCTTCAGACAACTATAAAAATGTACCTTTAACGTAAAGGGCCTTGTAACCTAAAGCTGATCTGCCAATTCGATCCCTACTATCACCAGGGACGTATATATTAACTGCTATCACGTGGTTTAAAAAATCAGATCCTCCCAATTCGACCTGTTTTTACAAAGTACGGTCTGTCAAGTGATTGGAGACAAGCTGAAATACCATTGAAAAACATCTAAAAAATGCACACAAGCTTTAACGACCATTTGACTAGACTATCGGCCTTGACGGTCCCCTGAGGTAAGCAATATTGAATATAAATGTTGTAGTGTAAGCAGATTTCGAGTGAAGAAATTGCGACAATAATGATGGTAAGATTTTAGTGATGTAGTTTAAGCCCTAAGGGGGTCAGCCAGTGTCAATATATGCAACCCATCAAAACTGTCATCCTATACAAATAATTCTTGGTTATTTCTAAAGAAAAAAAAACACAAATTTTTTCTCAAAAGTCCAATGTAATTAAGGGGTTGCAGGCCCTGTATTTGGTACACTGCACATCATGTTGGTATGTCCTAGTTTTATTGCAAGCAAAGCTAATGCTCAAAACAAATTTTTTTTAACAAAGGGCAATAACTATAAAATAAATGGGTTGTTAGCCCGTATATACTGCACATTCTCAATGTATGACCAATGCATACATTACATTGGTCTTATCTCAGTATAAATGCTGGCCAAGCTATGCTCCAGAAACAAAATTTTAACAAAGAGAAATAACTCTGTAATTAAGGGTTTGTGGACTCTGAGTATCATCTTAGTATGATCAGTGTATACATAAAGTATCATTATCCTAGTTAAAATGCAAGCAATTTGATGTTGAAATTTTAACAAAGGACAATGACTGTAATTGAGGGGTTAATAGCCCTGAGTTATATTCTGGACATAAAAGGATGGACAAAATACAAGATGGCCACTGTGACTCACACTTCAAACATTTGACAAGGCCAAGAAGTAAATATACATCATTTGCATCTTTCACACCAGAGGAACTTGAAAATACTATGTTTCCTAAAAATGAATTTTTTCATGACGACCACCATGTTGAATTTCTGACTGAATGGAAAAATAACAAGTTGGTTGGGACCATCTCAGATCCCTTCCTGGTAAATTTCAACTCCATCCTTCTAACAGAAATTTGAGACGTTTTATATTTTTTTTTATACTGTGGCCATCTTGGATTTCAGATTAACCATAAAAATCACTTGGTTGAAACAATCTCAGGATCACTTCAAACAAGTTTATCTAAATACCAAAGGTGGATCTTCAGGAGAAGAAACATTACAATATGAACGGTTTACGATAGGTGCATGGCAAAAGTCGACAGACAAAATTCAATGACTAATGGTCTACCTGGACCTTGGGGTCTGATGACCTAATTAGAAAAAAGATTTGATATCAATGTGACAGAAGTGATTAAAGGAGGATATAGAGCCAATATCAGTTTTCAGGAAGGTGTATTCTTGAGCGGTGCACTCCACTTGGACTTGGATACTTTCAGGTATGCAGCGCAATCAAAAGGAATAGGCAAGGAAAGGTTAAGATCAAGTGTTACCAGATAAGTGGGTTACTTAACTTTTTTGTCAAACTAGTTTCGCCTCCGGTCAAGGCTTCATCAGGTGATTTTACACCAATTCTGCACCCCTGAAGTACTTTCTTAGGGGTTCAACTTATATTATTACGTATTCATATGGACAAAGTAGTAACAGAAGATAAACCCTTATTTTAACACTATGATATCATAATATACACAAACAAACACACAAAATGACAGTTTTATGAAGGATTTTTATTAATACAGATGTATTAACACCTTTTTTGAGTTTTTCACACTAACACTCAAAGTATAAACCTCAAATTTACCTCTAACAGTTTGGATGTATTACCTTATAAACAAGGGGCAATTCTCTTTTAGGTGAGGAACACGGCTTCCATAAAACTCTCAGTAATTACGAATTCCCAAAATTCTCTCATGAAATAAATAACAAAACATCCAATTATGTACAACAAATAATGATCAAAGTGTCTCTCTAGTGACGAACTATTCCATGTACATTATGAAGGATCAGGAATTACACAAAGGGAATGTAAAAATAAAAATATTTCTACTTGAGCAAGTACACATTTCTGACATTATGTTACGTGTAGCAAAGAGCCACCCTGAATATCGGTGAAACCTGTAAAATGTTATCTAATCAGCTCATCAGTACAACTAAGTGATCTGGTCAACAAAATGTTGATAACAGTTGTCAAAAATGGCAAGATTTGTATGGAGGGATGGGTAAATTTGTTGTAAGATTAAGCTAAAAACGAAGCCATCTACTGAAAGAGAAGTGTAACTTAAACCATTCAACATTCCAGCCAAATTGGGTTTTTTTAATACTTTTTTATTTTTATAAATGACATTTTATGAAAAGCAAACAATTATATAGTCCACTGTAAATCAACAGCTTCTGTGTAAGAAAGAGTTAAATTTCTCAAATAATTTTGGCAACCTCCATTCATGATTGTTTTAATGATTCTTTTCAAAAGAATGTGATTTTGCTGGAAAAAAGATATCTAAAAATATCTGTACAGGGAAATAGTTCGGAAACTAAAATTTCAATGCATATCTCTTTTTTCTTATGATTTACGATCTGTTGTTAGACGATACCATAGCATAAAACTTCCAAGCCAAATAAATTAAAAAAAAAAAAAAAAGTTGCAGACATTAATTTCAAATATATCAATTTTTAAGAAAAGCCTATAAGAGGTGTTTTTTTTTAATCATTATTATTATGCTGTGAATAAGAACTTAATCACAGTCATTACTGCATAGATAAGTCCTAACTGATTTTTTTTTATAAAGAATGTATTCCTAGATTGAAGCTGGTTCCAAGTAATTGTTCATACACATTAAGACTGACACACTTACCAGCAAATCAACCCTTTACAGACCAACATGGTAACTGATCTAAAGGTCTGATTAACAAATAACCCCTAGGGTAAACATATGTAATTCAGAAGCTCAATAATATACAGGTCTTTACTAGAAAAAGAATTCACCGGACGCCATCGTACTACCATTACAAAAAACAAAATAAAAATAACTCTGTTACATACTGGCTTCCTTTAAGTGATGTTTGCCATCAGGAAGGTAATATCAAGATGAATTTTTGTTCAGTTTACAAACAAACATTTGATATACTGATATACACAAACATCATCATTTGTACAGTAACATCAACAGAACAACAGTGTAAAATACTGTATATTGTGGTTTTACAAAAATTTGTGGATTATTCTTTCTCACAAAATCCACCACGATTATATTCCATTTCAATTATCTGTTTTTCATTTCATGGGCATGTATATTTGTGGATTAGGCATAACCATAAATCAAGCAAAAATAAAACTGCCACAAAAATTGATTATTTTACAGTAACTGTTTTACTTATAGTAAACACAGTATAACATAATGTCACTGTGGACATTTCAAAAATCTTTTCTTGTCTGAAACACTTGATTAATTATTTTCAATCAACACATATTTTGCAAATAGAAGCCCCCCTACCTCTAAAAAAAACCCACCAAACAAAAGAAAACCAAAGTCAATTTCATAATTTTCCTTGAATAAATCATGCTTTTTCCTTGTAGCTTTCGATGAAACTGCATAAATTTGAACAATTGAAAAATTCAAATTTTGACAGATAAATTAATCTGTAATGCTTGCCACATTTATTGTTCACATGAAAACAATGACAACACAATCAGATATACTGACATCTCACCACCCAAAGACTTTTCTTAAACATTCTATCAAATACTATGAATGTTTTCTACGAATCCTGATTTTACCCGTAATACAGCAGTGCGGCAAACAGCATAACACAGTTCCGGAGGGAAATTGAACTGTGTTAGGCTTGAGTCATTCTGTTATGTACTTTTACCATACAGAGATACAGACTCTATTAATAACTATGGTTAATTCTCATGCCCGAGTCAGCATTATTCTCTCAGGGATAACAACGCTGTGTTCAATGACAAGTTGATGGCCTACTGTCAATAATTCTACCCAAAGAGATTTCTTACTGCTACTTGACAATCTGATTTTTACAACACAAATTACCTGGTATCCATGTAATTGTAAACAAGTTTTTTCTTACATAAAGATAAATTACAACGATTTAATCTTATGTGAACAGTATTTGAAACAACAGCAAGAGGCAAAAAGGGCCAAATAACTGCAGGTCACGTGGTATACAGTGTAATTATAACTGGTGGTCAATAACAGGATTTGGATAGAAAGCTGAAGTATTGAATGTCAGTTATATTGACTTTCAAAATTAAATTGACAAAGAAATCATAACCAGGCAATAAATAATATAAAACAGAAATCAAATTGTGTAAATTATAGTTAGAAAGTAACTTAACTGGCCCGCTCTTTGATATTGAGACATAGGACATACAATACTTTTGGTGCATAGCTATACTACTGTGGGACTACAACCCACCATTGGGAGTTTTAATTCACTTTTCGGGAACACAGATACTCCTTATAATGCTGGCTTAACAGTGACAGTTTTGTACATTACAGATGATGACAAAGAAACCCTCCAGGAATATCTTAGTACATGAAAATCCACAAGACATCACTAATTGGAATGTAAAAACAAAATCAAGGGTCCCTAAATTAATTAATGATTAATAATAACAGTATAATAAAACATGAAAAAGAAAAAAAAATGATGATGTTTGATTTTCATTTGGTGAAAAATTTTGTAGAACTAGTCTATTTTGTAAGTATTGATGTTTTCACAAAATGAAGAAAAACTATGATTTACATCACAGGCTTCAATATACTATAGCTGTTCATAGCATCCTATTTGTTCATTCACATCAGTTTGGATTGAAATTTTTTTTACATAAATAATATGCCTGACAGACTTAAACACTGAAAGGATTTTCGGATAATATGCAAATTGTCATACTCATTCTAATTACGTATTTTATAAGAGACATTCACTAAAAAACAGACAAGGTTCATGCAAACAACAAACACTAAAATCTACAGGAATTATATAAACTGCACATTTACTGATTATTATGACATGTATATAATGATACCTCATCTGTGAAGTTACTTACATCACAATGCACTGCCAGGACAAGGTATCCAAGGGAGGTAACTTATTTATATAATAATGTAGCCCTGCCTTTGTACAATATGAACATACACTGTGTATCTGAAAGTGAGGTACGTTCATATGAACTTCAATTAACTTCAAGGTTCTTGCCAATACTTAAAATCTGAATGAAAATGTTCTTTTAATTTATACTGCTAAAGAAAGTACCTGTCTACAGAACATGCTGATGATAAATATTATCAATGAACAAATCTTTTCTAATTGAAGTTCTGCAGGTTATATTGTGTTCATTAGGCCCTTACAGGGTATTTTGTATGAGTGCTAGGGGTTAAACATATCTCCATACCATAAATTATCATCCCCTGAAACTCACAAGACTCTACTCTTGTTGTTAAGAAGAGCCTTGTGGGTTTCTGATGATGAAGAACCATGATGAAAAATAAAATCTATCTGAAATACAATTCAGAGTAAGTGTTCACATGACATGATATGTATACAATGTATAACATTACTATATTTGTAAAATTACAAATAATGAACAAGTGAGATGAAAAAAAATCTGAATATTAAAACAGGACATGCGACAATACCTTTCCACACAATAAACATACGTCACTACCACTTTGTAATAATTGTGATAGAATTTCCTTTTTAAGATCCTCACTGAAACATGAATACAGTAAGACAGTGATGGAAGTATCACAATGTTTACACTGTGTAAAATGGTATGTAAATATGATTTATCTAAAAAAACTATATGAAAATCTAGAACTCTAGCACTGGTCACCATTCAGACTTGTATCCTACTATGTATTGTTAGGATAGTGTGTATCACACTAGCAGACTTTCCTGTTGCACATATTTCCCGTTACCTAAAACATTACAGCACTGGAATTTTTGTAGTTATAGTGAACTATCTAATAGATTTTTATTGATACCAAATCCCTTTATCAGCTCAATCAGTGAGGCACTGACTCCACATTACAGAACTTCCCATGATCAGCCCAATCATTAAGACACTAGGCTAATTAAAGTTCTACAAAACGTTTTTAGAGGCACTTGGAAAAAGTGACTCAGTTACATACATCATAGCAAATTTGAAAATCAGCAGGATATGCTATCCCTCTAATGGAAACTTGTGTAAGATCTACCTTCAAGTTACGAAATGATGTCTTCAAAATAAATATCCATGCCATATAAAAGATATCATAGTAAAAACTGAGCTTTTTACAACCACCGTTCAATATATGTACAGTTAAGATACAAAGCTGTTCGATAACTGAACAGTTAAGTAAACAAAACAGAGTTCAAGACATGTACAGAAAAAAAAACAATGTTCAACAACTGTAGTGTTCAATACCTGTCTTGTTCAATAACTGTACAGCTAAGTTGAAGAACAGTGTTCAATAACTGTACAGCCAAGTTGAAGAACAATGTTCAACAACTGTAGTGTTCAATACCTGTCTTGTTCAATAACTGTACAGCCAAGCTGAAGAACAGTGTTCAACAACTGTAGTGTTCAATACCTGTCTTGTTCAATATCTGTACAGCCAAGTTTGAAAAACAAGGTTTAGTAATTGTACAGTTACAAAACAGAGTCCAATAACTGTGTAGTCCAGTTATAGTGTCCATTACTATTTCCTTTCTTTCACATAACACATTAATTCAATTCATGTGCAAAAAGGGACATCATCAACAAATATCTGTCAGAAACTAGCAATTTCCAAATTTTCAGTATTAAAAAATTCTGAACAGGTCTTATCAAATATAATCATGATGATTCAACACACAGAATAAAAACAGATTTACAAAACGGGTGATCTTTATACAGATTTTAAAAAAAAAAGTTCTTTTCCAATAATTCTTAACTCATTTCAAAATCAACGCTTCCTCTGATTACTTTCAAATAGGACACAAACAGTGACTTGGATATCCCTGAACAGCTTCTGCTCTTCCAATAATCTATTACACTATTCTTGAGCAGATAACATTACACGGTCCATGTTATCCCTCAGCACACTGACTGATATCACCAACCTTTACAAATGTTTTGGTGTTTCAGTTCGCCCGTGATTTGCGTTTTTCTTTACACATCCTTTTGTGGTAACTCTGTGCTGTTGAGTTGACTATAGACACAATGAAATATAACACCATCACAATAATCAACTTCTCAAATATCCAGCCTAGTATATTAGCCTCCTGAAAAAGAAAAATTTATAAAATGAGCAAAATCCAACAATTAAATTTTCATCATGTTTTTACATCCTCATTCATCAGAAAGTAGGCGAGCGTGTAAAAAGGGATACCATACTCTCTTTCTGCTAACCAAGAAATAAATAAAACAAACATATATGAAAAATTTCTTTCAAAAATCCAAATGATCTTGGCAAGTCTTCTTATCTTAAGTGCTGTAAGTTATATATCAGAAATGAGATGCCGACCAGGTCCAGATGATAACAAAAACAAAATTTACAAAGGCTTATATGTAAGTCTGTTTGTATGGAACTATAATGAAGTTAACATATTTATCAAAACAGAAATGTAAGACATGTGAATAGCTACTGATAGTGATAAGTACATTTTCCACGTCTGTGCCTTCTGTACGATGAAGCTTCTTCCGTTGTAGAGATAAATAATCCTTAAATGGCATCTGTAAGGATTTACCAAACTTCGGAATATACCTGAAACAAAAATACCTCATATTACTTTAGAGTTAAGACCAGAATTCCTGTTTGTTCATACTATTTGTGTTTTATTTTCATGTCACATAGAGAACTGATCAGTTAAATACAATTCTGTATTCATTCTGCCATATGCCCAGGGGACGACACATTACTTCTTACTTAAAGTAAAGAGGTGTGCTTATTACAGGACGTCATATTATTACTCGCAGTAAGGGGCAAACTTTTTACAGTAAAATAAAATACAACATTTCATAATTCTACTGAACAGTGCTATAAGTGGAAGGATAAATTAATCAGTATGTGCCCTTCTATCATTTACATATATTAATGTATTCTTATGGCACTGAATTGCAATAATTCTATCGAATACATTCTACAATGATTTTGAGCAAATGGATTAAGTTCTACACATGGTTTACTGTGTGATTGTATCGTTGTTTGTCAAAATGTGAATTTCCGTCAAAGCAGTTGAAGAAACTAGAAAATGTCTACCCTGCCCTACCCTACCCCGCTCCCATCACTAACCACCCACCTCATAACACAGAAAGAGTATAAAAATAGAATACTGCAATATTTATGATGTCCATCACATGTAGCATCTTGAATCAGGTAACAGATTTTGTGAAAATAAAGTTTCATTTCACAAATAAAACAAATTTATGTGTCAAGGAAGCTTTGGGAGAGCAGTGCATCAAATAAATATGCATCATTAGTCACTTAATGTACTAGTAGGCATATGTCAGAACCTTTTCTTGTAAGGTGTTACAGTATTACCTGTCTATACATAATTGCCTCTGTACTTACCCTATTAAATTGACAACTCCCTCTACATGATGTTCACTAAACATGAAGATAACAAATAACTTCTGAAAAACACAACAAATAACACTTAATTAAAACATATCCTTAGTGAAATAAAGGTATCTTAAATCTCTTTAACAGAAACATAAAGTTAATTGATAATTACCTCTAATCAAGGTGAATTTTAGGACTTATATTGTTCTTGTACATGCTATTTATATTTAATGTTGTTTTTAAAAATTTGTCATTTTCCAGTGAACGACCAGGGTCATTTTGAGGCAGGGTCTCCATGTAGTAGCTGGTGGCTATCTCATTGAATCATACACAGGAGGCCCATTGCATGCTATAAGGTCAAATGTCTCAAACAAGGATACAAGCAGCTCAGTGGACTGGTCCATTTCTCAGCTTCCGAAGAGACACAAACCACCATGGGTACAGAGTGTCATACCATGCACCCCCAAAATCTTCACCTGAGGTTGCTTAATATGCAGGCCAACCCTCTAAATGACTGAGCTACTGTCCTCTCTCCTGTCTTTTAATATCTTTTATCTGATTATCTTTTACAAACTGTTTTACCTAGTTTATTGCTGAACAGTTTTAAACACACCATACTACATGAGAAAATTATCAAATGCTGATGACTGCAAAAATATATTTTATGTGACCTCATGGTAAAGTTCTTGGTCAAGAAAAAGAATAAACACGACATGAACAAAAAAAAATTCCTTACAGTGAAAATTCAAGCGTCACTAACTTCTCCAATTTTCACAGCTCAAAAGATCAGGTGTCATTACAAAACTGATTTCCATGCCAATTTATACCTCACATGTACTGGTGTATTGGAACAATCAAAAATATGAAAATATATAAAGAGTTAGATAAATGGAAAATATTGAAATCAAGTCCTCAAATCAGGCTCATTTGGGCGGGAATAGTAATATGTACTGATGACAATTAACAAACCTGTATATGCATCTTGATTATAGCTTTTCCTATCAATGTTGCTCCAAAAAATGTCCAGAATGGTACAAGAAAATGACCACATGTGATTCCTGCCAAGTCAAATAGTGGATTTGGGATCTGCAAACAGATTACATGTAATATAAATTTTATCTCAAATAAGTGGCCTAACATTGACAATGACTGAATTGCTACTAACACTGGCACAGTAAGTAAAATTTAGCTGCTTTATCTGAAGACATATATTCTTTCATTGAAAGATGCATTTATATATTTTTATGCATTTAAACTTATGTTCATATTCAAAAGGAATGCTCTTTTTTTTAACTTCCTGTATGAATTTAAACTGATTTACTTCTACTACATAGTTAAAGAGCGCTAAGTATGAAAAACGGGACAGAAGATATTATAGTACTCACTGAAGCACAGGCAAGAATCCCAAAGAACCCAACTCTTTGCACCAAGCTGTGTACGCCTAGTTTTGCTTTTTCCATGAAAGACTGAAAAGAAAAGCAAGATAAACTGGTATTCAAAGGATTAAATTTTACATTTAAATGAATAGCACTTGTTTTTGCAGACAGAGAGGGACTAGGTGTTCACATTTCCTATGAGTGAGATGTCTGTTGAAGGAAGGAACCGGAGACCACTGGTATTAAATGGACGACAAAGGAAAATCAGGTTAAAAGGATAAAAATTCATACAAACCTGTAGTGACCTTTAACAGAATTGAGAAACACATGTTGACATTTTAAGCCGTAAATGAAGTAGAAATGATACTGGTAGGGAGATCAGGTTGGAATGCATTACATGTTTGACATGTGATAACACCATGCTTGGGTTAAGTTTTTTTATACCAGTTAGTAAAATTATTAAATTAAACATTGATTAATAACAATTTTGAAGGGCATTTAAAGCCCACCCCCCCCCCCCCCCCCCCCCCCCCCCCCCCCCCCCCCCCCCCCCCCCCGAAAAAAAAGCTATTATAGCAAAATTTATTCATAAAAAACATAAGTAGAGCAACTGTCAAAAAATATAATGAATTCCCAAATTTTAGTGTTATATATAGGGTACACTCAAATGTGAAACACAAAGGAGTCTCTTAAAATCAAGACAGTCTCAACTTAAACAAGGAGTTCCCAACCTGTCTGTCAGCTACGATTTTGTTACATGACTCAAAATAATATTTTTCCAAAACAATGATCATATTCATGTTGTGCTGGCATATGGTGGTCATATTCCATTAACTGTTGTTTGTTTGCTGGTTTTATTGCCCAATAAACAGCCAGGGTTATTTGAAGCAGGGTTCCCTTTTATTACCTTACTAAACAATATATACTGAAAGGATAAAGAAACGCAGGGTAATATTTATTCTGATATTTTGAAAACGCGTTCTCCAAATAAAGTGAAACTTTGTGGATTGAGTAATTAGGTCATATTACACCTTGTCATGTATCGAAAATTTAGTCACGGTACAGTGCGCAGCTCTGGTAAATGGAGGAAGGAAAAAACAAGAAACTCATGCACCGTGTTGTTCTGATCTCATGCAGTGTTGGTCAAGTCACTCTTCGTTAGTCTTTATACCCTAAAATTAATTGAGAATTTGATTCGTTTTAAGAATTGCACGACTCACAGAAGTTCAGAGGGGTCAGGTCATTCAGATGCTAATGCAAGGACAGCTGCAAAATCAGGTTGCTAGGCACTTTGGTTTGTATGTTTCCACCATAGAATGTCTTGTAAGACGTCTTTGGGAAACTGGGCGATTGGCCGATCGACCTAGGTCAGGACGTCCGCGCGTAACATCACAACTTCAGGATCGCTATATCGTCGTCTCTCATGTGCATAATCGGCGCCTTACTGCCGTTGAGAGTGCACTTAATTTTCGTGGAAATCATGGGCGTTCAAAAACTGTAAGGAATCGATTACGAGAAGTTGGTGTAAGAGCACGTCGCCCCTATGTAGGTCCACACCTTACCCCTGCTCAATGTCAGCGTCGTATGGCCTGGGTCGCCGCACATGCTCCACAACGGTTTCCACTGAGGCAGTGGAGACAAGTTTTCTTCAAGGACAAGTCTCGATTCTGTCTTTATCGATCTGACGGCCGTCAACGTGTCTACCGACGTCGTGGTGAACGTTTTACAGACGCTTGCGTTGTAGAGATGGATAGGTTTGGGGGTGGTTCAGTAATGGTGTGGAGAGGAATCTCGCACGGGTTAAAATCACAGTTGGTTGTTATTGATGGCAATTTAACAGCAGCTAAGTATAGAGATGAGTTCCTCCGACCCCATGTTATCCCTTTCTTACAGCAGCATAATCTAACCCTCCAGCAGGATAATGCTAGGCCCCATGTAGCAAGGATTTGCCAAGTCTTTCTGACCAACAACAACATTCAACCACTAGATTGGCCGCCATATAGCCCTGATTTGTCCCCGATCGAGCATCTTTGGGACCAGTTGGAGAGACAGGTTCAAAAGTGCCAGTTGACCAGAGCTCTGATTGAAGTGTGGGACAACATCCCCATAAGACAGATTAACGCTCTCATGAACTCTATGACCAGAAGAATAAGGGCCGTGACCACAGCAAACAACGGACACACAAGATATTGATGACTCAGTCCAATTTCAATTTCAAAATCCTATGGGTCCATTCAATTTAATCGTTAGTACCTCTAAACCAATTGTCAGATGCAAAATACAGACTTTGGAAATTTTTAAGCTTTAATTTATCTGTAAGTATACAAAATTTCGTTTTAAATGAAGCCCGATATCATACTTAATTTCTGGTTTAAAGTTCACCCTGCGTTTCTTTATCCTTTTAGTATATATATATATATATATATATATATATATATATATATATATTTTGAAAAACACAAACAGCCATAGGTACAGGAGTGTTGAATTACATACATTGGACCTTCACCTGAGGTTATATAGACAATTGTAATCCTGCATACATTATTGAGATAGTTCTACTACTTACCATGTCATCAGGGTGAACCTGCTTCTCCTGTAACAGTTCTTCAATTTCTTCAAATTCGTCATCGTCATGAGATCCTGACAGTCTGGCAGCTCTGGCCATAAAATATGGAGGAAGTTCTCCAATTGCTGTTCCTGCACCCTTAAAACATAATACAAAACATTTTAATCTTTTGTCAAGTTAAATGAATAACTTAAAAATTTGATAAGGTTTTAACGTGTTTCACTATGTTGTAGCTCCATTTAGATATTATAATATTATTTTTCATGTTGATCACCCATTTCAAAGATACATTTATGTGTCAATGACTTACTGCCTTTAAATTTCTTTCTATGACTATGTTGGTATTTCCATGTAAAATGTTAGAAAGGCTGTAGTGTCTGATGCTGGGAGAATCCCATAGACAAGACCTTGGACGATATACCTAATCAAAATAACATGGCAACTTTTCTGTGGAGTTTGAAGGAATACCAAGGTGATGGACTTGTCTTTTGATACTGACTAAAAGTGGTGGAACAATATTCCATCATGTATTGATATCAACGATTTTTCAGTTTCGATACCATACAGCAGTGAGATATTGCAATATAACTTTTTGAACACTCCATGCAATATCCCTGAAGAAAATTTAATAACATTTAATTTATGAGGTATTGGTTATTGTAGACACTCGACACACATGTTGCACAGATCAATAAATGGTTTTTAATTTTCAAGACAGTGGTGATGATCTTATAATCATGTTACCTGTTGTTTGAAATTAAAATCTAAAAGTTCATTTTAGATTTTCAGTGGAGGTGTTGAAGGGGAAGACATATTTCTACAGCTTTTGTATTTCTTTTGCCTTATGGTTCTCATGTGACTTTAGATGATCATACTTGGATTATACATACCGGGTATACAATACCTATTGTACTGCATTACCTGTATTGCAACATGTACCATATAATGAGTTGGTTGGTTGTCGATACACAGACGTAAGATAATCACTTAACACACCATTGATAAAGCACTAAGCAAGATCTGAGAGGCACAGACTTTGTCTGTGTGACATGAATGCTCCCACTCCCCTGTAAATTATATATAGGATATTTAATAGTGTTTTCAGTAATAACGATTATATTTCACTCGTGTGGCTAATATATTTGGTATCTTTCACTCGTGCTTGGCACTCGTGAAAGATACCAAAATATACAAAAATATACCAAAAATATTAGCCACACGAGTGAAATATATTTGTTATTAATAAAGACACTATTAAATATTCTGTTTATTACATTTTCATCGCAAAAATAAACCAAAACAATGGCAAACTTACGATATAACTATAAAATGGGTAAGTTGACCATGCTTTTTCCAGACACTACTCACTCATTATACAACGATGCAAAAAATAGTCCATTTTATGAAAAATCAGTAAAAATATACAGACTCATAAATAAATCATAATAAATGTTTATTTGTGTTGGGACATGGATTTTGTAATTTATTGATGTCACTTATACACAATAAAATGGTTTAAAATGGTTTTTCACTAGTGAAAAATATCAAAAAAGTGATATTTTTCTCTAATCTTTCTCTTTTATCAGTTTGAGATATCCCTATATGTCACTGCTAAAAATGTAATAAAATGTCATCATATCATCTCAATCTTGACAATGGAGTCTTTACACATAAAATCAGCAGAGTTACTCTCATAAATGATGAATGCAATTTTTTTTTTATCCCTGATGAATGCCTAAAGTGATGACATTGATTTTTGACACAAATGGACAGGGAGGGACATGATGGATATAGGTAGGATTGTAGGTCATGCATCCCTTAAATAACAAGAATGTGAAAATACATAACGACACCACAACATATTTCAGTAGTGAACAAGCATTTGTAGTTGACTCACCCACATGATGGCTTCTATGCGGACTTTGCCCATGATCGTCCATAAAGAGATATGACCGTTTCCAGTCTCTACATCCGCAGGACAGATGATCCTGTAACACATAATACACATAGTTCAGCATAACCATTAATTCACTATTGTATTATACTGCTCCATCATTTCTTTTATATATTATTAATGAACTATACAAACATCTACCAAATTTAAAAGATAGCATTAAAAACATTTATCTTACTTGTACAGATAAATATCTTTAACATTCTGCTCTCTCACTATGAACTTAACAAGCATGACCTGTATCTCACAGAAAATAAAACTGAGGAAGGACGGAGTTTTCAGCATCATATATACCGAGATGATATGGGTATGGTAGATGCTTGATTTTTTGGGTATGTTAGAACAAAGGCAAAGAAATTATAAAGTGTTTTATGTCGTAAGTAGAAAGTGAATGAAAAGAAACAAGGAATTACACAAGTAAGCACGGAATACCCTGCTAACTTTATCTTCTTCTTGACAAAGAATCCAAAGCTAGATGACATCACACAACAGAAATCTTATAGTAAAAGTGTTCCACTTACTTGGATGGATAAGGGGGCTCAGGAAAATCTATAGAAGAGCATTCATAGGCAGCTAGTGTCACAGATGCTATGTGTGGACCCTAAGATAAAACAGATATAGATTACGGACTAAAACTTAAATTACCCACCAAAAAGATATATCTCTGCTACATTAGTTATCTCTCATGTTTGTGTGATTGTTCTGTTATAGATGTTCTGATGGAAACAGTTATGATGCAATCAAAATGTAATTATCAAACAAAATCTGTTGAAAAAGAAACCATTTTTTTAAGAGAGAAGTATACTGTGGTAGATATCAAAAACCACTATCGACCTCAAATTTATCAAACACATACAACAATGTAACTACTAATTATAAGTTTTATTCCATCAAGACTTAAGATCTTTATTTCACACTCTATATTCACATGAATTCTCAGGTCAAACAAATATAACGTTAACTTACAAGGTATAGGAGAAATGTATGTAGGCCAGTTCCTAGACCTACTGATGACAGGATTCCAAGGCCCACCCAATATGACCACCACAGCAAGTTTTTCTCCATTACCTGTACATACTAAAAAGACAACAGATAGTTACATTAACATAAATGCTTAAATATATGATTCTTCCTGTTTCATAATTTTTTTGTTCAGTACTTTATAATTATATTCTTAACCTCTTCCGTGATATTTCATGACTATTTTTCTCGATTTCTTTAACATGCATGTTACTACAGATGAAGAAAAAAAAAACATAAATTCATGGGCCAATAAACTATAGTAAATATTGTGCATGTGTGCTTCAGATCAGTCAAGTTAATCGTCAACTTGGTATACTTGACACTTGATCTTAACAGATGTGTATCTGAATAGGACATAATTGTCACTAAACCACCAAATAAACTTTTCACTGGTTTATCTACATATTAATTGTAATTGAGGAAATAGGAAGATCAAATGAGCAAAGCAGCACTTTATCACCTTATCTTGGGAAATAGGAAGATCAGGTAAGTACAGGTCAGTATAGCTGCACTATATCACCTACCCTTGGGGAAATAGGGAGATCAGGTAAGTACAGGTCAGTATAGCTGCACTTTATCACCTTATCTTGGGAAATAGGAAGATCAGGTAAGTACAGGTCAGTAAAGCAGCACTATATCACCTAGCCTAGGGGAAATAGGAAGATCAGGTAAGTACAGGTCAGTATAACTGCACTATATCACCTACCCTTGGGGAAATAGGGAGATCAGGTAAGTACAGGTCAGTATAGCTGCACTCTATCACCTAACCTTGCGGAAATAGAAAGATCAGGTAAGTACAGGTCAGTATAGCAGCACTATATCACCTTACCTTCTGGTGTGGGCCCTGCACTAGGTATAAAGTGTAAACAGCAAGGCATCCTAAAAGAATGAGCAGCACAGTTGCTTTCCTCCTCCACAATCTGAAGATATAATCATAAGAAATATAACTGCAAAGAATATGGCATATATAGGTGTCTCCCTCCTGTTTAAATCAGTAAATGAGGGAAATTTTCTACACTCTACACAAGGAACTTAACCTAAGAATTCCTGAAGATTTTCATACTGATGTACATGCAATTAAGTATAGGATTCATCAAATCCTTTTTGTTTTCCAAACTGCACACACGTATTTGAATATGAACATATAGCTTTTAAATCTAAGACAGAAATATCACATATCTCATTAAATGTTAAGTTATGTGATGATTATTAATTGGTGTGGGCACAATAAAATTAAAATCCCTTGATCAGTGCCTCAGAAATAACATTTTCAAGATTTCTTCCACTTTAACACTAATTCTGAGAGCACTTCCCTCATTTATAAGCATTACCCTGTTGCCTACTTAGGACAGTTTTTTACATGATGTATAAATTTACCTCTTAAATACAGTAGACAGAAGCATCATAGACTCTAGAAAAAAGAACTGAAGTGTTGTTAGTGGAGATTTCCATATCACAATGGCTTCCCTCTCAGTTCGCTCTCGATGGAAAACTTCTTGCATGTTCATATTTGGTTGAGGTGTGTCGCTGACCTGACCATTGGTGCTTCCAGACCCTTTAGGGCGTTGTCTAGCTGTATCAGAGGTCGTCTTCAGACCACCATCCATCTCAGCTTTACTAGCTTGTAACAGGCGGTTCACCTGAATAAGCCAGGAAACCGTCAGTTTTGAACAAATTAAATGTATAAGTTATATGTAACTGTATAACAAATTCAAATCGACTAAAGACAAGTAATAAATTGCAGACTTGACAAGAACATATACAATTTTGGGTGTACTAAAAGCAGCATAAGTGACCATTATCAGAAAAAATATTCCAAACATTTTAGCATTTAAAAACTTTCTTGGTAAACATAATATTCCTCAAAAATTCTACTACTGTTACAGTATGAATCAGCAAATTATATATATAATGTAAAACTAATGAAACATTACAAAATGAAACATCATTATTCATTGTTATTGCAAATAATATAATAACCAAATTAAACTAAAGTCTATGCAAAACTTTTGGATTTTCACAACAAAGCATCAACATGATAAAGCAGAAAATATGTTACATATACGCTGTTAAAACTGGTAAAAACATATGTAAATAACAGCAATTCAAATGAGGGTGTTTAAAGTAGTAACACATACAAGCAATACAAAAAGTAAACAGAATTCTGATAATAAACAAATCCAAAGCATGCATTAACCACATGGCCCTCGGAAGCAGGCTGCTTGATAAGCTCCATAACATGGACCATTATAATGCAGATTTTTTCAGTCTGTGTATTAGCTCCTACACAAAGCTTTCACCTGCTATTGTGTATATACATATTGGTATACATAACCAAATTTACATCATTGAGAGATTTGTAAACAGGTATGGTATAAATAGATGTATATACTTTTAATGACAAGTCCGTAAAACTCGAGCAATCTCATTGCATGGTAGGAAGTCACACTAAATCACACAAAATGAAATTTACATGAAATCTTTTAGGTAGCAAAGGCTAAAAGGCTATATTGAAAACTTTTAATTTATGAAAAATGTAGGATAAATACAAATTAGATGTCAGACTTTGTTATAGATACTCTCAGTTTACCTTTGTTAATGACAGAACTGGTAATTCCTACGTGAGAAGCCTAACTGATGAATGATGATATAACATTTCAATAGTGCAGCAGGTGTCAATTTTATCCTATCACTGTAACTCTTGTCAACACCTGTTAACTCTAATCCTACAGGACATGCACATGTTTTACCTCAAACCTATTATGCCCATATAATATGTACTGCAGAATACATCTAGCACAACAATTTCATTTCAATTTTTGTTTAAATGTGACTTTTATTAAAATATACTGATGATATATATACTTCAGGAGATTATATTTTGCTTCTGCAATACTGAACCTTAGGAATCCTTATCAAAATGGCAAATTTAACAACACGTTTATATCTGAACATTATAGAGTGTTTAGTCTTTATCATCCTAATAATAGATATTATCATGCACATCAAAAAATATGTATCAAATGCAAGGGGCCCACACCTATCACAACAAAGTACCAGAGAAATATGTAACACATAACACACACAACAATGCACCACAGAAATGTGTAGTGACTTAATACACACAAGGTACCACAGAAATGTGTAGTGATCTAATACACACAACAATGCACCACAGAAATGTGTAGTGACTTAATACACACAAAGTACCACAGAAATGTGTAGTGATCTAATACACACAAGGTACCACAGAAATGTGTAGTGATCTAATACACACAACAAAGTACCAAAGAAATGTGTAATGATCTAATATACACACAAAGTACCACAGAAATGTGTAGTGACTTAATACACACAAGGTACCACAGAAATGTGTAATGACCTACTACACACAGCAAAGTACCAAAGAAATGTGTAATGATCTAATACACACACAAAGTACCCCAGAAATGTGTAATGACCTAATACACACAACAAAGTACCACAGAAATGTGTAATGATCTAATATACACAAGGTACCACAGAAATGTGTAATGACCCAATATACAAAAGGTACCACAATAATACACACAAGGTACCACAGAAATGTGTAATGACCTAATACACACAACAAGGTACCACAGAAATGTGTAATGATCTAATATACACAAGGTACCACAGAAATGTGTAATGACCTAATACACACAAGGTACCACAGAAATGTGTAGCGATCTAATACACACGAGGTACCACAGAAATGTGTAATGACCTAATACACACAACAAAATACCACAGAAATGTGTAGTGATCAAATACACACAAGGTACCACAGAAATGTGTAATGACCTAATACACACAACAAGGTACCACAGAAATGTGTAATGACCTAATACACACAACAAAATACCACAGAAATGTGTAGTGATCAAATACACACAAGGTACCACAGAAATGTGTAATGACCTAATACACACAAGGTACCACAGAAATGTGTAATGACCCAATATACACAAGGTACCACAGAAATGTGTAATGACCTAATACACACAAGGTACCACAGAAATGTGTAGTGATCTAATACACACAAGGTACCACAGAAATGTGTAATGACCTAATATACACAAGGTACCACAGAAATGTGTAATGACCTAATACACACAACAAAATACCACAGAAATGTGTAATGACCTAATATACACAAGGTACCACAGAAATGTGTAGTGATCTAATACACACAAGGTACCACAGAAATGTGTAGTGATCTAATACACACAACAAAGTACCACAGAAATGTGAAGTGATCTAATACACACAAGGTACCACAGAAATGTATAGCGATCTAATACACACAAGGTACCACAGAAATGTGTAATGACCTAATACACACAAGGTACCACAGAAATGTGTAATGACCTAATACACACAACAAAGTACCACAGAAATGTGTAATGACCTAATACACACAGCAAAGTACCACAGAAATGTGTAATGACCTAATACACACAACAAAGTACCACAGAAATGTGTAATTACCTAATACACACAAGGTACCACAGAAATGTGTAATGACCTAATACACACAGCAAAGTACCACAGAAATGTGTAATGACCTAATATACACAAGGTACCACAGAAATGTGTAATGATCTAATACACACAACAAAGTACCACAGAAATGTGTAATGACCTAATACACACAAGGTACAACAGAAATGTGTAATGACCTAATACACACAACAAAGTACCACAGAAATGTGTAATGATCTAATGTACCACAGAAATGTGTAATGACCCAATATACACAAGGTACCACAGAAATGTGTAATGACCTAATACACACAAGGTACCACAGAAATGTGTAATGACCTAATACACACAAGGTACCACAGAAATGTGTAATGATCTAATACACATAACAAAGTACCACAGAAATGTGTAATGACCTAATACACACAAGGTACCACAGAAATGTGTAATGACCTAATACACACAACAAAGTACCACAGAAATGTGTAATGACCTAATATACACAAGGTACCACAGAAATGTGTAATGATCTAATACACACAACAAAGTACCACAGAAATGTGTAATGACCTAATATACACAAGGTACCACAGAAATGTGTAATGATCTAATACACACAACAAAGTACCACAGAAATGTGTAATGACCTAATACACACAAGGTACAACAGAAATGTGTAATGACCTAATACACACAACAAAGTACCACAGAAATGTGTAATGATCTAATACACATAACAAAGTACCACAGAAATGTGTAATGACCTAATACACACAAGGTACCACAGAAATGTGTAATGACCTAATACACACAAGGTACCACAGAAATGTGTAATGACCTAATACACACAAGGTACCACAGAAATGTGTAATGATCTAATACACATAACAAAGTACCACAGAAATGTGTAATGACCTAATACACACAAGGTACCACAGAAATGTGTAATGATCTAATACACCCAACAAAGTACCACAGAAATGTGTAATGACCTAATACACACAACAAAATACCACATATTCATATTTAATGGTTTGACTTTTGGCAGACATATTGCATTATTTTCAACATAATCCCCTTCAGTATCTATACACTTTTGCCAGCAATGTTTAAGAGCCTCAATGACACTTTTAAAGAAGTCCTATTCTGAACCATTCAGAAAGTTCTCCACTGCGACAAAGTCCCATGGGTGTGCTTCAGATCAACTGTCAGAAGTCTGTGTACCTAATGGGCTGAGAGCTTTCTCATCGCAAAATCTTTTGTAAGAATGGAATGTACTCTTTCCTGTGAAATCTCAACTGTACTAGCTATATATATCTCTATAACTTGCCTGTCAGTCATAACAATATCACAGACCTTCCAGGACGGGTGCATCCCCAAGACTCTGCCAGTCACACTTCAAATCTACCACCCACCTTTTCACTGTAGCATATGAAGGGGCATCATTCCTTATTGTTGCTACCATATCAGTATGGATATCCTTAGGTGCTAGACCTTTCTTATGCAAATATTAAATCACTGCTCTTTCAGCAATTTTGTCCATTTTGCAAAAGTGACTTGTTTATTTTAGAGTGCTACCTCTTCAACATAAACAGACCAAATGACACCAGTCTTCAGGTACACAACCTTAAATTGTCAGAGAACATCTTGCTTGACCTCTTCAATATATGGCTCACAACTTATCAATCAGCCCTCGTACGTAAAAGCAGTCTTTACAAAAAAAATCTAAACTTTTTCATGGGTGTCAAAAAGAAGACAGGCTTTATGCCTGTAAACTCATTGTTATGTTCAGAATCTGTTGAAGATAAGTAGATATCTACAGTTATTAATATAAAGAGAATGCAAGAACTGGGTGAATTGTAGAAGCAGGCAAAGTAATGTTTTAAATGAAGCACACATAAATGATCTTTTTTGTATGAAATGGTTAGTAGGAAAAACTCAATTTAAAGATAAATGTGCAATAACTCATTCCATATTGACAAAACTATAATCCGAACGATGTGGATTCTGAAACAAGCAGCAAATATAATGTGAAACAATTTTATATAGAAGACTTCTGAGCAAATATTCAAACACCACTTTATTTGCTTCTGAAAATGTTATCTGATAGGGGTCTAGTCTAGGAAACAGTCCCTCAAACCAACAGATATCTTTATCTTGTTGTCAGAAATATTTCATGTGGCAAACTCTTCTTATACATGTATATTACATAAGTAAGGAAGCGGCTGACATTCAGGTGTATCAGAGCTTCTATTTAGAATTCTGTTAGTAATTATAAGAGGATATCGAAAATGGAAAAGAGATTGTACTTTAGTATTGTTTCCATTCATGACAAATTCATTGTTAAGTAATACTGAATCAATGACAGTTCATCAACCAGTGTTCTCCCCTGCCAATGAGATTAGGTAGTATATCTTATATATGATTGTAATAGTAAGGGGTATGGAAAAAAACCCTGCTCCTATGGGGTTCAAACTTGCAACCGTTTGGTTGAATGGAAAATTCTCTTTATCTGAGGTTAGTTAGGCAACCTGTACCCTAAACTTCTACACAACTCCTTTCTTCACAAAGTCTTTGACTCTGAAGACAAAATAAAAAAAACCCTGGCATGATATTTCCAAGGAAGCCTCTCAACCTCTTACAGTTTCTACCCTTGGTGTGGTCAAAAGAATCTAATCTGTAATATTAAAAGTAATGAAAAAATCCTGTTCCCTTGGGGTTCAAATTAGTTACCCTTCTGTCTAGCCAGACACTCTCTTACTTGACTAATGGAAAATCCCCACTAGTCACACTCTGTACTCTGAACTTCTACATGCTTATTGTTTTTTTAAGATAGTATAAGTACGGTGTTGTTTTTCTTCAAACATCATTTTTTATAAATGAATCAGAATACCATGTCTACTTGATCAACTATTTATACAGTATTTCAGTGGTTTACATCCTTGTGTTAACCACCATTTTTAGTCTTTCAACTTCTGTCTAGAAATGATTGATCTTAAAAAGTGGTCATTAAACTCATTTCATAATATAGATTTTTTTTCATAAATTTTACTTTGAGTGTGAATCTAATGCTTTTGAGTTTTGTTGCTGGCATTTAACAGCGTTGGTTTTATGGTCACTGTTTCACTGTAATAAATCTACATTCAAAGTTCCTCATTATTTTGAAAATGCTTACAAAAGAACTCGTCTGAAAAATTATTTGATGAAAAAATTATCACACACAAAACAACTACATTAATAGGAGTTTTAGTGAAATATTACTGAGCTACTGCTACGAAACAGAACCCTGTGGAGACACTGGAAATACCCATCACCTGACCAGATCTAGAATTACAGTTAAGTCAAGATAGTTTACAAGACAAGCAGGAAAAGTACTACTTGAGCTTTGGACAGGTTGGGAACATCTTGGATTTACGAGGACGCATTGGAGTTCCAACACATCCTCTGAGCTCTGAGGATTTTTATCCTTTGTACGAGAGGAAGTTCCAGTGTACCCCTGTCAAACATTTGCAAATTTTGGCGCATAGAAACAAATACCATACACGGATTTGTTTGTTAATAAGCCAAGTTTGGCCTTTCCAGTGTCACCATTTAGGCCTACCAAGAAAACGAAAAGTTGAGAACACTATGAATTGGCAACGTGCCGTGCTGGAAATTGGTCTAGGCAATTTTGACAACCGGCATCCTAACCTTACCAACTCCTTTTTACGTCCCTTCGTTTTCAGTCCCTTTACCCTTAATTTCTGTCTAAGTTGTTCTAACGTTAATTTCTGTACTTCCTTTTCAGAATATTTATACATACTGGTGTCGATATGTTCACAATCTTCTAAGAAATATACTGTACAACGTGTCTGTCTACAATATTTATCAGATGATTTTATGTACTTCCGGTTAAGTAAGGGAGTTAATCAGGTTTAAATATAAGGTATCGCACCATCAAATCAAATTCCACGTTATGATACTCTGAATATAAATAACGCTCTAAGTTATTCTTTGTGAAGTATTTGATACAGAGACAGAAATGTTTTAGTGGTCTATAGTAAAATAAATGTATTCAACATTAGGTAAAGTTAGTATAATACAGAGGGATACGAAACTGCCAATATCTCTTTACAATGCCATAGCAAAAGAAATCGAGTCAACGACGGCCTTGCTGTATTTATTTTTCCCTAAATGTGCGCGACTAATCTTTTCCCAATAAAAAGTAGTAGAAAAAATAATAATTTTCGCATTGATTATACTAATTTTTGTGGCAAACAATTTCTAGTTTTTGTATATCTCTTTCTGTCATAACTATGAAGAAAATCACATTTAAATAGATAGTATCAGGGACGTATATGACATATTCGTCCCTGATAGTATTTAAAAGCTGAGTAATTTTGCAATTGAATATTGTCTAGTTTGAAATAAGTCAGTTAAAAATTCTTTGCATTATTATTTTTACGAAAATAAGATTTACTTCTCACCGACGAAATATTTTTTTAAGGTCGGTCAGTGAATCAAACATGGAGAAGAAGGGATTTCATGGCCAAGTGCTCCAACACAAAAGCTTATGCCAGAAAGGTCACCACTAGGCTCAGTTTCTTATCCTTCTATATCAAACGTTCCTGATCTCGTGTGTTTTTCTTAGTATATCAAGGGCAGATACTTTCGAAGTAGCTTAAATGATGGCAGTTTTTATTTATGAAAATTAATATAAATCAGTTTTGTTCTTTTACTGATACTAATAGTGATTTTTGACTCTTATTGGTGTTTTCAACCTTAAAAAAACTACTAGTTCTCAATATTTACTTAACTTACAGCTTCAGTGGATTTATTTATTATCCAATATTGAGTAGTTTCTCATAAACTAATTATATTTCATTTTTCTCTAAGTCTAATTGTTCTCATTTGGATAAATATTTAAATTTTATTGTTAACGCCTGTCTAAATTAATTAGCAAAATTATTATAATATTAAGTGAATGCTCTTACCAGAATAAAATTATCCTTAACAAAAATTGAAAGCACTCTGCCTTGTCTTAGCCTTTTTATTGACAGCAAAAAAGTTTTTAGATCAAATGCAATATATCAGTTTTCATCTTTTTCTTTTCTCCAATGGCGCCATCAGGAGCCAAATGTTTAAGACAAAAATAAGGCCTACTAGGGCCTATCTCCTTTTTGTAAATGAAATAAAGTAAACAAGGCATCACAAATTCCCTCTTGTTTCTACCTTCACTTAAGTTCAATAACAAAGATGGCCAAGCGTCTGAAGTTTGACCAAAATTAGCCCGCTGAAGTGCTCACCAGGATTTTCTTAAAATAGTAACAAATACCTTGACCCTTCAACTCAACTCTGATATTATGGTCCTTTATACTGAATTTGAATTTTGATCAAATTTCTCAGCAAATTAATAAGCTTAAGCACTGACAAGGATTTTCTAGAAATAGTAATGGTGACCTTGACCTTGACCGTACAACCTTTAAACACAGTATTGTTCCAAGTTTTATGGTCATTCATAAGTGTGTGAATTTTGAACAAAATTGCCCTAAACTGAAGCCATTAGAGTGCTGGCATGTATTTTCTAAAAAAAAAATAATGGTGACCTTGACCCTAGAACCATGAAACTCCAACTTGTCTAGGTATTATAATTTGTTATAAGTGTGTGAAATTTTATGAAAAATATCTCAGGAGGGGAAGTGGTTAGATTGCTGACATGGATATTCTAAAAACAAGTGACCTTGACCCTAGAGTCTGGAAATTCAAACTTGTCAAAGATATAATGGTCCTTTATATAAGCTTGTTAAAAATCTAGGAATGAAGCCATTTTGAATGCTGTCAAAGATAAGCATTACTTTCATAAGGGAAACTTGAGCGCCAACAAAGGTAAGTGGAACATATATACAGGAATATATCACCTCCGACATGCATCGACAGGGAATAGTAAGTGGAGATAATTATATAATGCTAATATTTCGCACCCATCAATAGATTCAATAATTTTGTAGAATGAACCAGTACACTTTTGTTGTATTAGGGTTGACAGTTTTGATATCTATATACATATAATTGTGTGTGCAAAAATTCTGGTTGACATATATATTTTAGTTTATGGTAGTAAAATATTCTTGAGAAAAAAATTTCATACCAATGAGAACAAATTGTACAAAATCCATCAGAATCTGCTAAGTCTTTAAATTTCACTTTTTCGAATTGTCTCTAAATGAGAAAAAAATTACTGACCATATCCTCCATCATTAAAAACATACAAGACATGTACATCACCTGCTTAGTTTGTTACTATCGGGCACAGCTATCTAGCAATCTTCATGATTTCAATTACATTGTGAATTTTTCTAGAACAACTCTATTTCATGAACATCTAGAATTTACTTATTGCATGGTGCTTGACATAGACCTATATGGTGGGTGTCCTCAATGAAGCAAAAGGTACTTACTGTTCAAGACCACTTGATCTCTTCCAAGCTTAACATTCTCATTTTAATTATGTTGTAGACTTGTCACTATTCTCATATTATTTCAAAAACAGGTTTCATATAAATGACAATTGCTATCTTCTACATAACACATAACAAAAAGATAGAATTATATTCAAACATTTATTTTCAAATTTTTAAATATATACTATAATCATAAAAATGTAAGTAATACTTTTTAAAATATCTACATTCATTATATACAACACAAACCCATTATCTACTACACACATTAACGATAGATTCCTCTATCACAACTTCTATGTCAGAAATATGCATGTCAAATAATAAATGACTGAATTATGATTTATACCAATTCATAATATGACACTTGAATGGAAATTTGTAGATAAGATAATCTGTCCATGTTTTTAATGCTCACAGGGCATAACCTAAAAGTGTCAACAAGTGTTTCTGTGCCTGTTACATTTAAGTACTTACTGTTAACATGTTACAATGCTGTTTTTGATGTCTTGAAATTTTAATCATATGCTGTTTTAGGAAATTAGAAAAGCTCAAAGAATTACATGTAACTGTAGTTATGTCGTGCATGTCCAGTTTTGTCTGACATTTCAGGGTAACTGCAACATACATTTTTGTCTTACTGAAGATTTCCTGTTTAGTTTCAATTAACAGGATGTAAGCAATGCAGATATGTTGATATCATGTTTAAATCTTGATACATTGTAAAACAGTAAAAACGAAAGTTTTATAAATAAGCAAATTTCTCAAAATTCACTAAAATCTGAGATTTTTAACCCAAGACCATCACTTTTCTCAATGAGGCATAGGAAAATCTGTCTGGTATTTTAAAATACTTGTTTAATATAAACCAAATCTAAAGTGAATTCAACCAGCCATGCAGACTTTATAATCTTTTCTCAAAATCTCAATTTTTTGCCAACATATTGCACCAAAAAAAAAAAAAAAAATAATGAAAATCTCTTTCAAGGGTTCAGATGTCTGTACTACAATGTAAATATATCCATGGTCCGATTGGAAAAAAACTTGTACTTGGCGAGAAACTGAGCTAGATGTAAAACTTTAAAATACAGGATCTTACCATTAAAAAATTTCAAAGTTGCCAGATTGTAAAATTTTGAAGACAGGTGAGTGATGAATGCATTGAGGTGTCCACTGGCAATCTAATGATATATCAAGTATAGTTAAAGTTGGATCTATTTCATAACTTACTGAGCAAAAGATCTAACTGCAAAACTTACAATGCTGACAAGTATTGCCTTTGTCTAGTTTTCACAACTTTTGTTGAAGGCAACGTAATAAAGCCCTGGAATTAAAGGATTAGATTTATTGGTTGTTTGGACAAAACACAAATTACCAACAAACCTAGATATTGTTATCATTATTTCATATTGCTAAGCAAATTCATATATAGTGAAGAATTAATGACATGAAGATCTTATTTCAAGAGCAGTATCTTTCAAAACAATTTGTAATAGATATGTAAAAAAAAAAAAGGTAACAATAATGATGAAATAACTTAAGACACTTGAATGTTATGTAGTTATAAACTAAATAGATATTAAATTGTAAAATTTTGATCCAAGTTAAAAAGAAATACTGAAAACCATACTGAAGATTACAGAGACTACATAATTTCCCTCGTGTATCACACACTGCTGTTGGTAAATGTTTATGGAAACCATTAAGGGTGTTTGTCTTGTATTAAATGCTAATAAATGATTAACAGGTTGTTCAAACACTATTTTCAAACTGTAATTTGATCACTTTAAACAGACATACACAAATACATGCAGACTTAAATCGATAGGATCCAAAAATATTTCTTTCCATAAATTCTGTCAACATAACTTGACCCACCAAGGATTATGTAAGACCAAAAATAAGTTTTAAAATCTATATAATAAAACAATAAAACTTTTTCAGTTTTTCCTAATTTTGTTAAAAGAAATGACAGTCAAATGAGATAACCCCAAACCTGAAACAGATGTAATCTAACTTAAATACAAAGGCGCAGTGGTCAATCACAACGCCTGTTGTGACTGACCACTGCGCCTTTGATTTTCATCTTTCCTTCAATCACCCTGCATACTTTTGGGTATCCAGATGGAGAGGATAAGGAACCGACTGAACCGCCTACAGAACAGCACCCGGTGTTGGCTCTATTACCCCTCTCCTAACTTAAATACAGATTCAAAATAAACATTAATTGTCACAGAAAGTCTACAATGCCTTAATAACTACAAAATGCTGCCATTTACATATTTTATGTCAATATCAGCGGTAAATCAATATCTCACACACATATCTCATGGTTTCTTCTGTACCAAAACAGAAACTTTTTTTTATCACCAGGTGTTCTTGAGAAATGCAAATCAAATTCTTTGAAATCCAAACATCTCAACAATCCATGTAGACTGGACATTGTTCTATTCATTCGATTATCATTAACATAACAGTGAATGTCATTATTTTACAGACAGGAAATGTTCCTGTTGGCGTTTAGTCTCTGGGAGCATATCACTGATCACCATTTGGCAGTTTTAATGGACTTGAGAGGTACAGAGGCTGAGTCCTTCTCAGAGGGAAGACTTTTCTGTCCCTGTATCAGTTTTTGGAGATCTTTTAGCTCCTGGTGCTGGGAGACAAGATCTGGACGTTTTGACAATGTCTGTCCAACTATCTCCATTAGCTCATCAAATCTGTACACTTCAGCTTCGGCTCGCCTCCAGTTTTCTTCATATACTTTTAACTGTAAGATCAGATCAAATTAACAACTTGTAATGAAAATTTCCAAAAATCATTTATCTCACTTAATGTAGATGTCTATGGCAACATGTCACAATACTGTTAGCTGGTAAATTAGAACCATTTATAGAAAAATTGTGTTTGCAATTTTTTAAATTTAGAAAGTAAAAATCTGTAATTCTGTCCTGATAAAACCAGAACAGGGTGAAATATGTTGACGAGTGTAGTAAATTGAAGAAACTTGGAAGCTGTTGTGATTGTTTTACTCGGGATTAATTGGTATTAATTGTAATTCAGGCATCATATGATAAAAACAAATCCCTGTTTGTTTATGGTGTAATCAATTTTACATAAACAAGAAAAACTAGAAAATTCAATTTCAATTTCTAGAAAATAATAATCATAACTTGACCCCTACAAGGCCAAGAAAGAATGGAGTAACATGCAAGACTGCTTCAAATTCTAACTGACCCGTCGTGAGGCTTTGTTGCCAAGTTCTTCATAGTATTCATCCTTCTTCAATAACTGATCCCTTAGTTTCTGAATCTGGAAGGAGAAGGTTACAGCTTATCACTAAGAAAATCATACATTTCTTTACCCCACAAACATAATAATTTTTTTCCAATTTGTAGTTGAACTTTTGACCCCAAACAAAATCCCACATTAGGTCTCATACTAAACTAACATTGCATTCAGTTTCAAACTAATTGGTCATCCTTACTCAAGTTATTTTCTGGACAGACACACTATATTCCCCTCCAGTTTAATCGACAGAGTACAAATATGGTAAGAAACAAGCTATTTCAACACTGGTTGATCATTTGTTCTCTGAAAGTTTTCCCTTCTTTTCTCTTCCTTCCCCTGCTTATTCTTAATTTCATGAATTTTGAGAATTCCTCTTAAAAAGCAGCAATTATGATCTTTAAGATGGCCACCTGTCTGCAATTTTGTTTTTCTGATTGATTTCACAATCAAAAGAACACACCTGGGGACCAAGGGGAACCTACAGTATTTTCCAATAAATATCAATCTTTCCATGTAAAAAAAATCCAAGATGGCCACCTGTCAGCCACTTTTTTCCCTGATCAATCAAAAAATCAAACCAGCACCATTTCCAATGGCGGAGAGGGTGACCTTTAACCTTGAACAACAAAATCAGGTGAAGATCTTGGTGGTAAGATGCTATGGTGTGAATATGAACCAAATCTGTTCTGAGGTTCATGAGATATCTTGTACACAAGGTTATTGTATGGACTCAGTGAATACTTAACCTCCAAAGCTAACAGGGAAATATAATATTTCAGAGATGACAAATAATGATAGAAAAAATTCTACACAATGATTACAATAAATAGACCAATGAGTCATACAAAGCATGAAAAATTGTATTGCTGTAGAAAGTGCCACTTATGACCCAGTATGTCTGAGCAATAATACTTCATTAAAAAAATTGCAATGATTGTCAATACACTATTTCAACAAATCAAGGAATGAAATTTTATAATGCCACCCTCAGAATTACAGCCTCACCTTCATTTTTAGACTGAAGACCTCAGCAACACTTGATGCTGTGGAGCCTTCCACATCGCCAGAACTCTCTAGCATCTTCATTCTGCCTACTGCTTCCTTCACCTGGTTACTGAGCACCTGCTTCTCACCCACCAGTGTCCTCAGCTGGGATTTCAACTCCAATAACTCAGACTTTTGGGTCTGCAACAGTAAATGAAATATAATGAAGGAAACAAATACAGTGTGATTTTCTTTACTTAATCTCCAATACTGCATTGTTGTTTAATTTAGCAAGGTTTATATTTCACAATTGTCCCAATTTGGGATAGTTTACAGCAACTAAATATCATGCATGTCTTTCTACTGGTACCAGGTGTTCATGTATACTTGGTATTGCTTGGTAATTTATTTTGCATCAATACCATATACATATATGTTGCAAAATTAAATCCCCTGCAAAACAAAAAGTTCTACCAACTATACAGTACAGCTGTATCTTTGAAAAAATGGAAATATTATATCCCAAGCGAGGAACTGAACAGTTTGAAAAAAATATGGGGCAAATATATAAGTAGAAGTAACAACAATTAAAGAATCACTTTGCAGCATTGAGCCTAGATCATTTGTAAATTTTGGACGAAGGGAACAAATACATCCAGTAAAACAGTAAATACAATACAATAAATTGATTTCCCTTCACCAAACTATAAAAAGGAAAAAATGTTCTTAATGTTTTACAGGATTCCAAATTTTAGGCCTTGCACCTTTGCATTTAAAGGACAACCATGGTAAGTTTGCCTAAGAAATGTTAACTGTATTTAGTCACTGATCTGGTTTCCATAACAAATTTAAATGCTGCCTCATTAAATGATGTCGACGCGATGTCTGGAGAAACCTGAAGTATCCATCCTGACATCAGCTATATTCAGTAATTTATCAATATGACAACAGCTATGTTAAGCAATTGATCAATATGACATAAGCTATATTCAGCTATTTATCTATTTACAATGTTGACGTACACAATGACTTCAGCATTCCTTATGAGTGTCACAACAATTTGTACCGTAACATTTTGCTATATTTATCCCTCTCACATGCCTACCTGTATAAGAGATTCCTGATCAGAAAAACGTTCAAGGTTTTCAGCCATGTTTTCTAGACGTTGTTCCAAAGTCGCAATTGCCTCTCTCTGTTGTACAACTTCCTTATCCTTTCTCACAGCTTCTTGTTCCACAAACTGCAGCTTTTGAATATGCTGCCTCAATTCCTCACTAAAACATCATAGAAAGACCTTTACAACACTCATATACAGGTATATTAAGAAGTATTTCATCTAAATCTTTGTTTTGGCCAGTTGTCTTTGACTGCCTGAAGTAATTATTACACCGAGACATGCAAGTGAATGAGTTATCAACAATTTCTAAAATTACCAAAGCATGAAATCTATGTATTTCACATCTCTTAATGTCAACACTCCAATTGTACTATGATTTCTCAAACCATCACTTTGTTAGCAGTATTTCTAAGCAAATAGAGTTAAACACAACTTAACAGCATGGAAGACAAGTGTATTTTTTGAAAATATACCACATTATATTGATTCAAATTCAAAACTTTTTTGTGCATTTTGTTTTTCAAAAACTGTCATTATCAAATGACCTGTCCAATAACAGTCTGTGAAATTTCTGTCTCCATTCCTGGCATGAATGAAATTTTTCAAAATTTCCCCTCCCTCTAAAGACCAGTCTAAAAGAATGAGTCATTTTAATGTTTTAAAAGAGCTGAAACAGACAACTTGTTTCTAAAGAAATTATCCGATTCTGTAATTAAATTGGTCAAAAAGCTTATACTGTTCAGGCAATTTTATAGTATCTAAATTTTCGGTAATGGATATTTTCTCAATCTCTAGTTTTCATATCATATTTGCTTCAAAATTACACCAATCAAATATGAACCTAAAATGCATAGGCATTTTATGGTCTTCAGAAGACATCAATAAATAAGCATTGATAGAAGCAAACTAAAGACTGCTTCACTTACTTATCAGCATTGACTTCATCAATAGATAGTCGTAATGCTTTCTCCACTATGTTGGCTAGACGTATGATCTCTGTGAAATATTCATGGATGGCGTTGATTTGTTGTGTAATGGTTTCCTTCTCCTTCAGTTGTCCCTGACAGACTTCCCCTTGAGTTTCATTACTTTCCTGCTCAGCACTAATATCACTGACCTTGTCTGAAGGCGATCCAGGCTTTTCATTTCTTATCTCTAATGGACCTGACTGAGGAACTATCAAACTCTGCCCAGTCCTGACCGGTGCAAATGCACTTGAACTTGAGTATCCTAATTTGCTCCTGCTGATGGTGGCAGGGCTTGCCTCAGTACTGCTCTGTAGGGGGTATATTCCTGATATATTTTGGTCTGACTGTGGGCTGTCCTCACCGACTTCATCAGATACATTATCTGTGCTTTCCTCTTCCTCCCTGAATGGTGATGCTTGAGCTGTTTGCTGTCTGGAGGCTGCTAGGAATATCTCGGACAAGAATGACTTCCTAGCTTTACAAGGTCGTTGTTTTCGAACATTCTCACTATCTTCTACAACTGGAATCTCACTAGAATGGTCAACGTTTGAAGGGGCATCCTGTAATCCAAACCAAAACCAAAACGGTGATGATATCATTAGTAAAATATTACCATTTGAGTTTTATCAATTTCAATATCCTTTATGACATCAATCATATAGTATATATACAAGAAAGTAATGTTCCTTTCATATTTAAAGATCAATACCTTCAAAATAAATAAACTCAATTACTAAGAGCATACTTTCATTTTTGAACTCCTAGAAGAATGCTCTCAGTGTGATGAAGAATTTTACCTTCTAAAAAAGCAAAGCGAATACCAAAATTATCTGAAAATCAATCTTTTCTTCAAATACGATAACTAACTAAGCAACCATGGCAATATTTTACATTGTGGTTAAGATAAATTTCGTTAAAAGTTGCAAGAATGAAGTTTATCATTGCCCTGTTTAATGCCCTGTCAACAGTCAGGTTCACTTTGCAGAATTATTAATGTAGTAATGTGTGGTGGCTACCTATAGCTGAACAATATGCTGGAGGCCTATTTCATGCATTCTAGAAAATAATTGGGGTAAAGTGTCTTTCCTTATGACACAACAATTTCAGCTGGATGGGCCATATTTAAGCTTTCTAAGACACAGAAAGTGCCCATGTAGGAACTGTCAAGTCACAGACACAGTTTTCCTAATGTTAATGTAAATAAGTCACTTCCATCCTGTTGTTATGATCAAAATGATGTAGAACATTTACACATTTTACAACACAATATTCTGAAAAGTTTGCCTATAACATTTTTTACATAATTCATCATTATGTTGTTACTGCAAAATTTGAAAACATTTCATCACAATTCATGAATCAAAATATTGATCAATGAACTGTACTAGCCTGCCGAGTGGAGATGCCAACTTTGCGATGAAGTTCCTGCAACAGGGTGTCCATCTTGTTGGTGAGGATAGAGGCCGACTGACTACACTCTCTCAGCTCTTCACCTTGTTCATGTAACATACGTGAGGCATGACTCTTTGTCTCTGACAGTTCATAGGCATTGCTCTGAATTGTCTCCCTGGCAAAATTATAAAAACATCAGATTAGAGAATTTTTAACGATTTGATATTTAACAAAGTGTTAGTGATCTAGACCATCTGTAACAAACATATAAATTACCAAGACCTACCCTTACAAACATATATTTCAGCTTTTAAAAACTATTTTACTTAATTCATTTTTCCAATTTGACTTCTTGATTGTCCACATCCTGTACAACTGAATTCCTTATCAACATTATATAACCTCAACCTTTTTATCAACAACACAACTTGTCATATTGAAATTCTAACAGCAAACTCAAAACTGCCATGATGGTGTCTCAGTGAAAGACTACATATCTAAAGCTGTAAAACTACAAGAAAGATGTACTTACTTAAGCTCTTGGATTGAACTCTGCATCACAGCACAATTGTCCTGAGAAAATAAACAAACAAGATTCATATACCTGCACTGCTTTTCAACTAAAACTTCTGGGTTTTAACAGAGGATTTATGTCCAGCTCAAACTTGTGAACTGAATTTCAGATATCTGAACTTTAATCTACGAACTTTAATCAATAAGACATAGAAATCTTATAAGGCTTGGAGCAGAGTTTTATAAAAGTTCTTAACGAAGTTCAGTACATCCAATTGTTGAACTGAGTTTGGGTCCTGTATTCAAAAAGTATAAACTATCCACGAAGGCTTGAAATTTTCAGTATAATTTATATCTAATCATCGGATGGAGTTAACATCTTGCATTCACTTAAGTCAAGTTGTACCTATATTGTAAAGAATTAAATGAAAGCCATCGTCAATACTCGATACGACCTCTGGAGTATCCAGGATGTGTGTAAGATTACACTTTACTAAGATCCAACCTAGTTGTTTGTACTTTTCATAAATTGGACAGTTGTAATTTCTTTAGTCCTCAAGATCCTCAACAGATTATCAATCTGTATCAATAACTTTACAGGTTTACCACATCTGAGAAAGACTTACCCTGAGTTTCATATTGTCTTGTTGATACTTGTGGAGTTCCATGTTTCTGGTCTCTGCCTCTATCTTGAGCCTATCCAAGGTCTCCAGCTTCTCCGTCATGTACTCACGGATCTCGTATAACTCCTTCTCTGCTTGATCTACATCATCATCATGCGAGTCCAATGTCCGCTGCAGGTTTTCCACAGCTGAGGTTAAGCTAAAAAGATCAGAAAGCATTAAAAACAGGGCAGTCATATGACACTTAGTCATCAATCATTAATAAAAAGCGCTTTGCATTAGTAAATGTCTACCAGACACAAATGCCTCTGCTCCTGTGTAAATCAGTACCATATAGCTGGCTATTTCAGTGGGTTAATCAAGTACCAGAATGACTGAATGAGCCCATGTAAACATAACCTGTTTAATTTGTTTAAAATAAATTTAACTGTTGCAAATGCCCCTGGATAATTTGAAATGAGGCAACTAGTGATGATATCCATATGACAACATTTTTAGTGGCACTTAATATTGCTGATGAAATTTACTTACTTACTTTCGTGATCACAGCCATGCCTCCAGAAAGAGCAAAAATAACTTAAAAAATTACTATCACTATCACTGATTTATAAATATCCATTGAGAATGATAAAGTTAGCTTGACATTAGAACCTTGAGACACCATCTCTTTGGTGGTATTTTCATACATAATCTTTTCTGTTAGTTTAATCAAAATACTAATGACACTGAATTGATTGACAATTTCTACAAGTGACCTTGACCTTTGAATCCAGAAAAACCTCTAACCAAGGTAATGTCATGGAATTTGCATGAACTTTTATCAAATAAGCTAAAAATATGAAGCTGAATGATGACATGGGACACAAGTGAATTGACTGGAGAGCCATAAAAAAATCAACTGAACCTAATTACTACAACCTTTACTGTGTGTGTATCTGGCAATGTTGAAATCAGCTTCCAATGAAATATTGGAAATAACCAAAACTTTCAGTGACAACTTACTGGTCATTCTCACACTGCAGCAGTTGTTCCTTCTCCTTGTAATGCGTTTCAACTTGTGTTAGACTGCAAGAACAACAGAAATGTTGACCTCTAAACTTGATACTATACATAATATTTGTTCATTTTCAGCCAGAAAATCATGACGTAAGCAAAATTCCCTGTGGTCCATTTTCTCCTATTTCTAGTGAAATTTGCTATGAAAAAAAAACTAAAATGAACAGACATAATGTTCTATACATAAGCAAAATTTCCCTATCATCAATCTTATCCTACTTCTAGTGAAACTTGTCATGAAAAAGACTAAGATGAAAGAGGCCACTATAAGTAGATCCCTTCCTCCCTGTTTACAGCATAATACATCAAATTTGAGAACTTAGATCATTCCATTTATAACCCTGGCCTAATCAGGATTCATGTCTATGCTGGTTTGATTATTTGGATCTACTATTTTTCCCTAACTAGTACTTGCAATCTGTTAATGAAGGCCATGTCTATTCTGAAAACTGGAATTGTCTAGCTTATAATTGTATATATCAGTCTTTCTAAAAATGACTTTTTATATTGTCTTTGAACTTTCCAAACAATGTGACAATCTAAATGAACACTTTTGAAGGTGATAACAATTACTGACCATTCAATGTCACAGATTTTTTTGTCATCTTATTGCAGAATTAATACCGGTAGTCATAAAACATTTAATCATCGATATAAACCTTTCATTTGTCTTAAAACTTTATTCAAGCTTTTTCATGAAAATGTTGTTGATTGTCCTTCTCTGTAGACAGGACACCTGTGTTATATATGGCAAAATGCAGGTTATATTAGATTATATTTTACAAGGAGTTTTTTCTAGATAAACAAATGGCCTTTCCCAGCATGTGATAAGATACTTACCGTTTATTGACATTCTCCAGCTCCTGCTCCTTGGCCTCAAGTGAAACTTGCACTCCCTGACGTTCCAGGCAGCTTTCTCTCTCCTTTTCTTCACTCTCTTTCAGTTTATTGATAAGATCTTCCTTGCATAGCTGACAGGCCTCATAAGCTGTGTAAATCCAGAGCACAGGTTAATGGCAGCTAACGATAACTATACAAATCAATATGAATTGTTTTCTGTTTGAAAGAACATTTTTTGTTACTAGTGGGTCCAACTCTACAAACCTTCCTAAGCTGACTTATGTAGATATATATATACATACACACTTCATACTGTATAGTTTGGGACCACTAACAATGTTAACATGATGATGAAGAAGACATATGATAGAAAAATTACATCCTATTACTGGTACAAATAAACTCAATAATATCGATCCACATGACACAATCTTTGACTATTTATCATTCAGTAACAAAACAAAAGAAAGTGATATTGCTGAGATCTGTTTTAAACACCATTTTATTGCTTACCTGTTTTTGTCGTGTTGAGTTCCTCATTCAGAGACTGGACTTGCTTAGATGTGCTGAGGAGGTCAGCAGAAGTACTGTTGTACAACGTCTCAAACTGTAACAGCAAAACACCTGTCACATAACATGCTGTTTACATTTGAAAGGTGTCATTAGAACATGATTGTTGTAAATCCTTCAACAATCAATAAACTTAAAGCAAATATTTACATATACATGTATACCTATACTTCATATGTTCTACTATGCTGAGTAGCTTGTTTGATATACATTTCTTACCTGTACCAAGCTGTTCTTGGACGATTCAAGTGCTGTTTTCATCCCCTCCAAGTCCACTTTTTCTTCCTCGTTCACCTTCTTCTGGTCTGCTACCTCACATTTCTGTAAGAGAGAACCATATGTAGCACCATAAACATTGCATTTAATCATTGACTAGTGAATTTTGTATTAAACAAGTTTTTTGAAACTGAATCTTTTCATTAATAGGGTAATTTTTCAATTTAAAAAAGGAATTCTTTGTTTTTAAAATGACTTAATTAAACATTTGAAGCAAATCATTAACCTATATTTGACTTGAGCCAAAGCTGAAGTGAAAATTAACCACACACTACTCTATGCTATATTAGCGTATAACTATGTCAATTTTTACACTTTACCATATTAGGATGTATGTGTAATAGACAAATTGTCCTTTAATGATAAAAATATTTCCACAAACTTGAGTGCATTCTTTGATACTCTTAATTATGTACCTTTGATAAATGTATGAAAGCTTATAATTATGTTCTGAACAATTATGTATTTTAACATCTACCATGTTTAACTAACAAGAGGAGCCTGTGGAATTAGCCTCAGCTAAATATGTTCTTAAATCTTCATGAAATATAGTCTGTTATTATTATTATTACACTACCTTATGTACCTGTTGTGGCTAATAGATTCATATCTGTATCGAACACAGAGAAAAAATACCCCCGACCAAGCCTTACTTTAAATCAGGGCTTCTATTGCTGTTATACAGTATACAGACTATGGTCTATTTACCTCCTTGTCAATGTTCCTTTTCATTGTCAGTAGTTTGTCGGCAGCTGTCTTCACTTTCAGGAAATTCTCATTGACCACCTCTTGTACCTTAGCCTGCATTTCGTGCAAAGGACCATACATACAGATCATTGTATTTGATAACTTCTACATAGATAGCAATATTCCTAGGTCTTTCCGTTCCAATAAAAAAAATAGTTCACAAAACCCTGAATAGGTCAAAGCAAATAAATATAGCCCTGATCACTGTATTTATGATCATCATGGTGAGCCAGAAATGAAGTTGGATGATTGAGGACATTGTTGGGTTATGTAGGGATAGACATCTTTATTCCCTGATGGATTAAAACACATTTTCAAGACAAAACATATAATAGCAAATAGACTATTGTCTTATTAACCCTTAATATATCTACTGCTTTCATAAAGTTCATGACCTTTTAAAGCTTATTCTCCTATCAGATTAATTTGATTACCTCTGTTTATATATGATTATCAGTGATAACAGTATATACCTGTAGAATCTCAGCTATTTTGAGACTTTCAGCCAGCTCTGTGTACTCTGAAAGTTCTGTCTGGAGCTCCTGTATAAGGCCATGTGCAGTGCGAAGCTGTCCAGTACAGTCGCGGCGCTCTAACTCCAGCTCAAGGTCCCGCACCTGATTAATATGGGCTTGTCGTGTCAGAGCTTGTTCTGTCAACAGGCTTTCACATCGCTGTTTCATCAGCTCGAGATCTGATTCGGATTGTGCTTCAGCAGTCTGAAGCCTTGATTCCATGTCGCACAACTTTTGTCTTAGTTTAGAAATATCATCATTCTTCTCCTCAATGCTTCCAAGAAGAACTTCATTTTTGTTCTGAAAGTAGCACTTTTTGTATTTTTTACAATGCAGATAATTTTCATATAACTGCAATTGTTGTTTGTCACTTTCTGTATCTCTATTAATTAAAGAAAATACTACCACACTTATTATGTCAATCATTCTCATTACATGTAATCTATATACAACACCAGGATATTTAGATAATTGATGGAGACCAATTCATTATCTTACACACTTTCTTCAATAACTGTTAAACCCTGTGACAAGTCACTCTTTTAATGAAAATCACATCCAATGAATAGCACAGTATGTCTAGTACTATAAATACCTTGAGACCCTGATTTTGCTCCTGCTGCACAGCAATAATTTCCTTGGCTTGTTCCAGCTCAGATGTGAGACTGGTAATTGTCTCCTTTTGGTCAACAACTTCATTCTGTTTTGTGGACAGCTCCGTCTGTACTCCAGTCATGTCTGTGCGAAGTTCGCCTAATGTCTCCTGCATCTGCTCGAGCTGTCCTTTCAGTCTGTAGTTCAGCAAGTCACAGTTAATCATTAGTTTTTTTATATCATTTATCAGCATACCAAGGTACTTAAGAATAAGTCTTCTATAAAATTCATTAAATAGGAAATTCTAATCATCTGAATGCATTAACATTAAAATATGTCAGTTTTCTCATCAGTTAAATGAATTAAATGCAAGCTATCTTATTCAATTTGTATCAGGTTACTCCAGAGGACAATCACATGAGAGCAGGAAGGCACTTTCCTTCTGTTTCCAAACACATAGCATATACGATCCCCATGCCGAAAACAATAGGTGAGACTACTAAGGTAAAAAAATCTCTAAGGATAGCATTGTGATAGTAAAATTACTATTGTGATACTCAATGACTATTGTGATACTATCAGAACAGTTTTTTTACTATTAAATCATGTTTATCTAACCCAGAAATAAAGGTCACCAAACAATTAAATTTGTCAGAATGCTCAATTTAGCAAATATTATAGCTGAAAAAATTATCGTCATGACAGGTATTGAGTTGAAAATATGCTATTAACCTATTGCTTTCGACAGAACTCTATCGCAATACATTGGCAAGTTGATTATTGTCACACCACTAGAAGATAAGTCAATGACTCCAATTAAGGCAATTACTCCAAGTTTGTGAACTATATTATGTATTTGCTACATTGGAGTAAAGTTTTACTAAATTCTTGGTACCTGGCAACAAGTTGAGAAACAGAGTTTGTCATCTATCTAATAGTTATAAGGTACAGGAATTCCACCCATGGCCTTGTACATTGAAGTAAGAATAATGTTGGTTTTAATTAGTTGTAGAAATGCCTGTCTGACCATGCCCATGTTGTTGTATGAATCTGCCAGCAAATAAATGATAACTTTTTCATGCTAACTTACTGCTCTTTTTCCTCTGTCAATTTGTCTGTGTCAGCAGCATAACGAGTCTGCATTTCCTTTAAATCAGCTTCACTGTTCTCATAGGCTGTTAATAAAAGAATTAAGGATTATACATACATTCTTTTACACTATTCACTAAATCTGCATGGCTAGATGGTGACACAGCCTTTAACCAATAACCTTCATTACCAGATCTTGTTCTCAGCATGTAGCTTTCCTTGATACAGTAACACAGAAATCCTTTTTTTATTGTTTCTTAATGTCCTATTAACAGCCAGGGTCATTTAATGATATATCAGGTTTGGGTGGTGGAGGAAAACTGAAGTTCCAGGAGAAAAACCACCGACCTACTGCCAGTACCTGGCGATTGCTCCACATAGGCCTCCAATCCTTGACATAGAGGTGGAGGGCTAGTGATAAAGACAATATGATGCCTTAACCAGTCAACCACTGCCAAGTCTAAACTTTAATTCCTGTAATTCATTGTTTCTTTGACCATTCTCATATATCTTACCCACAGAGAATCCTGAAGGGACTAAGGGAGACTTGAAAACTGAAACTGACATCACCATTTTTCCATTTTCTCTTAATCTTTCATTGGATTGCAAAAGTTATTTTTAACATTGACTAAAAATTGCTGAAAATGGGATGAGAGTGTGTGTATGTGAAGGGTTTTTCATTCTTGCCTAAACCCATGACTCGAATTGAACAGTGTAACATCTGAAGCCTAGTGTTTTGGCAACCATATGTAGAACATACTGCCTTAAAACCTGGCTTCAGCAATTGCCCCTTTCTTTATTAACCCTGTTGTTTATTCATTTTAAGATGCCTCTGTGTACTCTCATGTATCCTCCTGAAACCTGAAGGATGAAATACATCTTACCCAGCTCACATTAACTTACTGGGCATGATCTTGTAACCAGTGGGTTGTAGGATTTCTCAAAATTTTCCAGCATACTAGCTAGCATCCCATATACAATACAATTATTTTCAGTATGTTATTATCTAATCATACTAATTATTTTAATGTCAATTTAGAAACATTTATAATTAACCACAAGACATCAGTGAAGCTTGTGATTACTAACCTCTTTTTACTGACACAAGCTCACTACTGTTAACTTGAATTTGGCTTTTTGAAATGGTAAGTTCTGCTGATGTGGTCTTGTATAAGGCTTCCATCTAAAAAAAACCAAACATAAACATTTTTTAAATAAGTTTATGAACTATACAGTATGGTGGCATTAAGGTTATTACTGGAACACAACTTTTGAGACAATTTTTTTTTGAAAAATCTATTTCATTAAATTGACATGACTTTTGCCCAAATTTACAACAACTTGTCGCGGTAGTTATCAAGACATGTCAAGTTAAATCATATTGTCAACATCCAAGATAATTTAAGTTGGTTTGTTACGAAAAAAGAATATGAAATTGACAAAAAGTTGCTTAAATCTTGAATCTCCATCTGTTTTGCTTGAAAATTTTGGTTAAACCAAGAAAATTTGATTTATCATAAATAACATTCTTACAATAATTTAGTGGTATACTTAAATGTAGAAATTTCACACTGTAAAGCATTACATTGACCTATGAATGTGCTAAATGCAGTCTCTGTATATCACGTTCAATGGTAGATAATTTGTAGCTCTGCTAATTCATCTTTTTCATTTTCATCTAAAAATTTCATAACAAGCAAAAATCTTAATGCACCAAAACAAGCACATTTACAGTACTATATATCACAATTATATCCTCTAAACATATCAAGGTGAGTCAGGAAAATGTTTTGAAAACTGTTGTACCTGTGCTAGGCTATCTCGTGATGTCTCTAACATCTTCTCCATACATTCATATTTCTCCAGAACCTCCCTTTTTTCATGGCAATTACGCTTCATTTGAATGTCATTTGCCTCCATCTTTTCCTTTATCTCATGTGCCTTAAAAACAAACATGACTTCAATTTCAATTTTGTAGATGCCACCTTATTTTAAATTAGTTGAAAGTGATGTCACATAAAATCAATATTGGAGCATTTAAAATAACTACTCTCTTTGATTTTATCTGGATCATTTTTCAGTTCAGAATGTAGGATTTTGCTTAAATTCTACTGGTTATATGTAAATATATGTTAATTACAGAGAACTAATTCTTCAAACTTAAAACTGGGAAACCCGTCAAACCCTGACACAATATACTGACAGTTTAAAAAGTCTGAAATTATGAAAATTTAGGGTATTGTGTTTCTTTTGTTAGGCCTATCACCCCATTCACGGATCCCCGTGTGGCAGCTGGTTGCTATACCTCTCTGAACAACAAATAGAATGCCCATCTCAATTAGGGTAAAGTTAACTGCCCCGAAAGGACATCACCACAACAGCATAGAATGGTTGTGATCTCAGCTTCATGATAAACAATCTGGAGTAGGAAACAAATTTACAGCCTGGCTCTTCACATGTGGTTGAAAAAATGCTGTATAAACCACTGACAAATATGATCAGGTAAAATTTCAACATATTACAAATGCAAGAAAACATTTATTCAAAACCTTTAAAGTGAGTTAAAATGCAAGATATATCAAGTCCAAAACATGGTAGAATTTGGAGAAAAAAAAAGCAATGATTTAAACCTAAAGATGCTGTATATGCCAATATTGGAGGTGAAGGATATAAGAATCATACACACTTTAGTAACTTACTCCAAAAGTTTTACAGTTTTAAGGTGGGATATATATGAAGAAACAGCATTAGCTCACCATTACTTGTAACAGGTGACCAGTGAGCTAAAACGCTATAAAACTGAATTGTGATCCTCCGGGTAACAAAGTTAAAAGTTGTCTGGTTTCAGTAGTAACATTGTTTCTGGTGTACTGGACAGTACTGTTTTATGGGTACCGGAGTTATCCCTTACGTCCTTACCTGTTGCTCTGTCTGAGCCTGAAGATAGGTCAATCTTTTAGCCGCTGCCTTCACCTTACAGTAGTTTTCTGATATATTCTCTAATATCATCACCTGGGAGCCAAATTAAAAAAAAAATAATAATATCTGATATGAGAATTACTGGTACCATGCATTGAGCTAGAAGGATAATCTCTATAGTTTAGATTATAAAGCTTGAAAGCTGATGGTGACCAGTTCTTAACAGTATGTGTAAATTTCAAGTCAAAGTTGATGTTGAATCCCAACATAGTTTTAGCCTTTCAGCCAGGCCAAATATATGAGCTATTGACACTGACTCAAGACATACCTGAAGTCTCTCTGCCAGGTCGACACTGTCAGTCAGCTCTGTGTACTCGGCTAGTTCTATCCTAAGTTGCTGTATCAGAGAGTTGGCACTCTGTAACTGGTGGTCCCGATCTGCTTTAGTTGTCTGGTTTATAAATCCAGTAATCTGATAAATAACAAGATCAATATCCATAAAGTAAACAGTGTGATAACGAACATCTCTCTACATATAGTAAACAAATCAGTACAATTTATGTCTCCATACTTCAAAATGAACCAATGATAACAAATGCTATGTCAGGGATTTCCCCTAACAAAAAAAAAAAAAAAAAAAACCAAACACTTCAATTAGACTCCTTAAATTGACAAAGGACACTCAAAATTAATAAAGCTGAACCCTATTTCATATATGGGGTAAGAGGCAATCACAACAAGCTCAGGACTGTGAAATTGTTTATTATTCTTCGTCTACCGGTTTCACCCATAACATGGGATTCTTCAGGACAATGTTTGTGTAAAATCAACCCCTAAAGTACTAAAAATGTGGTGGTCTGTACATTGTTACTTATGATGTTATGTTATGTTATATTCTTGCCTAGGAAGCCTGAAAAGACATGCGAATAAGGTCTATGGATCTACAAAAACTTGGTACAAATGCAAAATATGCAAACGGTTGTACAGACACATAGAAACGTACAAACAGCACCTACAGCAACAACACCCTGGGTACACTGTAGAGCCGGAAGTCTCCGAGGACACTACGGAACAGGATGCCCATAAACCAGGTAACAAATGTTCTTTTGAAGTACTAACAAAAACTCAGTTGGAACATGTAAAATTCTGCACTTAACCAGCAGAACAGTTAGGGTCAAGAACTTTAGACCTGTATTGGATATGGCCATAGATCTACTCAAGAAGGATTTGGAACTCTCCGATGATGATACGTGTAGCACAGCATCAACACCCAGCAAATCAGAGAAGGACTTTGTTGATTACAATGCATTACATTACCAATCAGCTTCAGACTCCACAGTGTGTCAAGATGAACGGTGTTAATTTTTCTGATCTAGTAGTTAATATTTCATCTTATATGTTCCAATTTTGCAGATTACTTTCAAGACAATAGTAACGTATATAACAGATAATTTAATCTAACAGCATGGACATTTCATATATTAAGTGATAGCAATAACCGGACGACACCACTTGAGGTCCTTCAGGAATTTCGAGTTATCGTTATTTGAACTATACTCATAACGTCATAAGTAACAATGTATAGAACACCACATTTTTAGTACTTTAGGGGTTGATTTTACACAAACGTTGTCCTGAAGAAGCCTGTATGCTACGGATGAAACTGGTAGACGAAGAATAATAAATAACAATTTCAGAGTTCTGAGCTTGTTGCGATTGCCTCTTACCCCTTAGTTCTTTATTACTCTTCAATCGCCCTGCATACCTGGAGGTATCCAAGCAAGGGACCACGGAACCTACTCTAACTTTACTAGAAGTATGGCGTTGGCTCTACATCCTTTCTGATGTTTCTGCTATTTGATATATGATGCGAGTCCTTGGACTCTTACACATCATAAATATGAGAGTCGCAGGGAAAACCCTATTATGACATGAATATTTCACCAACATACGTACAATGTATACTGGGTTTTTTCTTTGTCCAAATTACGTAGCAGACCAGTGAAAAATGCCTATGCAAAAAAAATCTATATATTATTAAGATAAAAATTTACCTGTTCTAATTGTACATCAGCAGCACACTTGCTCACAATGCCATTGACATAGAGAGAGACTTGCTCCTCCAAGATATCACTGTCCATCTGGTCGCAGCGGAGACATGGACAACCATCTGCCTGAGTTCCACAACTGGCATTTTCTATGGGGTCAAACTGAGTCCCACAAGATGTACTTTCTATAGGGTCAAATTGAGTTCCACAGTTGTTGCTTTCTACAGAGTCAGTCTGAGTATCAAAACTGTTGCTTTCTACAGGGTTGGTTTGAATACCACAAGATGTACTTTCTATAGGGTCAAACTGAGTACCACTGCTGCTGGTTTCAACAGGGTCAGCTTGAATACCACAGCTGTTGTTTTCAACAGGGTCAGACTGAACACCACAATTACTGCTTTCCACAGGGTCAACCTGAGTCCCACAACTGCTGTGTTGTACAAGGTCAGTCTGAACATTACAACTGTTCTTTTCTATTGAATTAGCTGGTGTTGCACAGTTCACAGTATCATCTGCAGTCTTCACCAAGTTCTGGAGATTAGCTATGGTCTTCTCCTTTTCTGCGATCTGGTTTTCATATTGCTATGATAAGAGAAAAATCATTTTGCTATCAAAATCAGTTTGTGTTAGATCTATTTCAAAGCAGAAGCTTCATAAATACCTTGAAGCCTGCATACCCCTTAAATGAAACAATACAGAATAAGATTAGATTATGGTTACCTAATTCTAGTATGTGTCATACAAGTATATATTGCTATCCTATAATCCAGTCAAAGTCTAAACCTATTTTAGAATCACAATCAAAGTAAAGGGTCAGAGGACACAAATGACAAGAACCCTGTTTTAGTTAAATAATTACCTCATTTGAAATCTCTCCTCTTTCAACACAGAGAGACATCAGGGTCAATGAGTAGCTGTGACCTCATTTCAGTTAACATACTGGTACTGCCAAAAACCCTCGAAAGAAGCCCTGCAGTCTGATATTGACTTTCAACAGTCATGCACAATAAATGAAGTTTGACCCATCAAAGTGTACAGTAATCACACTCCACATCACCTTTAATACTATATTAATTGGATGGGAAACAATCTAATCATTACCATTGACTCCTTTAAGTCCTGATCATTCTTAATTTTTTCTGTTCTATTTGGTGAACATTTACAAAAGTATCAAACACTGTTAAATAAGGAGAATACAAGTACAGCAATAATGAGTAGACTTCAAAATGTATCCACCTGTTTGGCCTTAGCAATGACTTCATCCACCTTCTTACACACAAGTGAGTTGAGGAGCACATCATCAGTGTCGGATTGCACTTTGTCTTGGTACACTAACAAGGATGGACGAACCCTAAACAATTAATATGTATACAAGTATTTAGATAAGGGGTCAACAACAGCTTTTGCAGTAGTAAATATGTTCTCTGAAAAATAAGAATTGATTTTAGTGGCAGAAGCTAGGATGATTTTCAAATCAAAGTCATATTTCTAAATTAAGAAATCCAAATAGTATCTTTTAGATGTTAAGATCTAATTGAAAAAGTGCGATACACTCCTTTTTTAGTAGAAAATTATCTGTCAGAATTATGAGATAATTATTATTTGTAATCTTTAAGAGAGGTTGAGGTTAGTCTAAGCTTACCTAGCTGCTTTGCGACCTGGAGTTTTCAGTGTAGGTGTAATCTGGCTGTAGTAGGCTTTTTTGGTACTTCTCTTTAAAGCTACATTGTCAACACTCTGAAGTGGGGTTCTACAAACAATAGGGGAGGCATTCGAAGTGTTGACTACAACCTGCAACAAACAGAAAAGTCCTTTGATCAAACTGTTTAAAAAAAACATACAACTGTATTCTTAAAATGGATATTCCAGAGGAAAAAAAAAGAGCTTCTGATCATAAACTCTTTGTTGAAAATTGTTCATTTTTTTTGCGTTTCAAATCAAAGTTGACTGGCACAGACAAAATTTTGGATTGGACATAAACAATGTTAAGTATTGTAGTATTTATAGAAAACATGGGGCAAAGCCACTTTTTGCCGGGTTGCGGGATGAGTGCAATGTTATATATCATGCTCAAAACAATGTTTCAGCCAATCAGAGGCTATTAGGCTCAAAACAACATCTCAACCAATGAGAGGCAAAAGGTTGCCATCGTGGATTTTCTACACCAGACTGTTGAAAATGACTAAGTTCCAAAGCCCGGAAAATCAAGAAAAAACGTCCAGAATCCTAAGTTAATAGGTGCACATCTTCAACATATATATAAACATCCTACAAACTTTCAAGCTTTTACGTCAAAAACTCTAGGAGGAGTTGATTCTACAAAACTGGTACCCAATTTTCCTGCCAAACTGCGGAAAATGATTAAGTTCCAAAGCGCGGAAAATCCAGGAAAATGTATGGAATAAATCCATAATATGAGGTGCACATCTTCAACATATATGTAAACATCCTACAAAGTTTCAAGCTTCTATGTCACAAAGTCTAGGAAATGTTGATTCTACAAAACTGGTACCCCTTTTCCCCGCCCGCCCGACATTCACCAAACTATACCCCGGATTTGCACTATGTGCAACCAGGCCAAAAATTACATGAGCTATCAATGGAAATTGTACAGTCTGAATCTGCTTTACGTCTGGTTGAGTCTCATGTACACTACTGTAAAATACACTGTAGTTGTTTATCTTGTTACATAAATCAGGAGAGAATTTTCTGCTTACATTAGAAACATGCCAAAGTAAACTTATCTGATCATGAGTTGTAATAGAAATTTCATAATCTTCAAACAGCAGCAGTTTAGAATGCATTCTAATCAGAAAATGCTGTTGTCATAAACAGAAAGTTCATATTAAAGAACTTTGATATAACAACATTGTAATTAATAATGCTGATCTATACTAACCTTTTCAAAAGAGGCCATCAACCTGTTTTCTTTGTTTTCAAACTCCATTGTAATCAGAAGTTACTACTAATATAATGTCAACTTGGCTAGCTACATGCTCTCTGTGACAAACATCTGAAAGAAAATTAAAAAAATAAATTCAATGATTCAAAGTCCTTTTAAGCTTTCATTGGACATGAATGAAAAAAAAACTCCTAGGAATATGTATATCAATGACAATAATGCTTAAGGATAACTTCGATTGATAACAACATGTGAAACTTTAACAACAAAGCCATTTAAAACAGAACCATTGTCGATAATGACACTTCATATCTGTGCAAAATAGTCACATTAAAAAAATCTAGGGGGAGGGGGAAAGGGTGTGCAAGGAGAAGGGTGTGACTGATTTGTAATAAAGTATGAAATTATTTTGATTTGGGTTTTTTCATGGAAGTATGACCTTTTCATAATCATGAAAAGTAAATAATTTGGTATAAGAATACCAAGAAAACAAAACAGTATACAGGACATATGGAATGTATAAATGAAATTTACATTTTCCAAAACTAAATTATAGAAATGTAGAACATGTTATGAATTATCAGAAGAAGAAAAATCTAGACATTGTTATCTATTGTTACAGAACAGCTCCTGATACTGGATAAATGTCATAATTTATTTTGTTCTGTTGGTCTAGCTTTTATGTACTTTCAGTTTCAACGAATTAGACAGACCTATATAGATTCTAAAAACCTGAACTCATATGTATTTTTCCACACATTTCTATTATGAAATAAATCCAATTGTGAATGGTGCCTACATTCAGAAAACGTTCCGATTCCACAACTTCATGTACTAATTTTGTGTTTCCAATCATCTCATTTCAGCCATTTTCATTTACTCAAGTCAGCGATTAAAAGCATTTACTTTGGATTTCTGACCAACGACTTAGCAGATACTGAATATGTAGGCCCATCAGCTACAGGCAACATGTACGCATATTTCTCTCTTATGTTGAAGCTCAAGTAAATTGCGAGAAAAAGATTAAAATTGAGATATGAAAGTTTTTTGTAAACTTTCTTATTCGTGCAAAAAATAGAGAGCGACTGGTCATACAATTCAATTATTTACGTAAAACCATGTTACCTCTTGTGATTGTGTTCAAACTTCGCTCTATTTTTATGCCAAATGTGTTCGAAAAGTAACGATGGTTTTAATTGGTTGATTTTGGCTTTCGGAACACATCTCAATTAATCGGAACATCTTTAGAATTTTCATTCAATGTTTATGTTTTACTTCATCTAAAATGTGGTTAGGAATCGTTTTTAACAAAACAATGTTGTTATTTTTTATGTAGTTGACAGATGTACTCCTCCTTAAATGAGGGAATGTCTAGCTTTTGTCGCTCTTATTGTATGTTTACATCACGTGACTTCGCGCGCCGCATATCAAAATGGAGGCCACCTTACGAAGAACTGTCACAAATTTTACGGATGTCATTTTTCCGGTTTCGAAGAATGCACAGGATCCAAATCAACATCAAATTCTTAAAACAGGTTCATTTTCGATAAATTTATTCTTCGTACTGAATTTTACAGTGACGATGTGACTGTTTGATCTGTTTACAGGTTCCTGTTTACTTTCGAAAAGCATGTCTCAACAAAACAGTTACATGCATTTAACACTTAAATGTTAAAATATATAATGTTCATGATGAGATACAGTATTATGTTTGTGTCATTTTTTGTCATATTTGTCTTGTCACCCTTGCTTAGCTTAATATAGGCGCTTATTCGCTGATTAAGATACCGAACAGAGATGTACATAAATGTGGTAGAAACGCATCCACTAAGGATGTACCGTGAAATCATGGGTACGTTGCAAAGCAAAACAACTTTATTTGCCTCAGTAACATTTATTTTCAGACCTTATAGTTTAGTGTTTTAAGCCATTCTAGTGTTTCTTTTCTCTCTCTGCTTCAAAAAATTCAATTGCATTGTTATTACTAGTTGTACTAATAACATGGCATTTGGTTGATAACTTACAAGCATTCCTATTGCAAGTCACATTACAGGTAACATAATAATCAAAATATTCCAACATAATTCTGGCATAGATTCTTATACATCATAGACTGAAGCAATTACTTTAAGAGATAATCAATTCAGGCTCAGAGTATGACAATTTTCATCCATTTTGCAGGAAATGAATATGTTTCCAACCTGCCACTACAGATGGCCCTGTATTTCAACATGTTCTTCATACCTTTTTGGTTAACATCAATACTTGTGTGTTTTGAAATAAAGGTATGTGGTTATTTTTGAAAGAAATATACATAGCTATATAAAGAAACTGTTGAAATAACACCATAAATGCTATGGAGATGAATTTCAAACCTTATATAAATTCACATTCAAGAATTAATTTGAAAGACAATTTTGTTCACATTCAGCTTTCTGGATGGTTGTTTTGTCTCTCAGTGCATATCAGTAGGGAACTAGTTTTGTGATTTGTTTAACAAAAAAATTTGTTGGATTTGTCAATTATGCTACAACTTTTGTCATTTAGCAAAATCTTAGATACCTTATTTTCTTGAAAGTGACGGTAGCTTTAAAATAATTAGGTTTGTCACCTAGCAGGATTGCTGAACAAAACGTTTAATATGATCTTTTTCAGTATACCCGACTCTCTATCTTGTATGTGATTGTGCTGATAGCCATCTACATTGTGTTTACACTCATAGAAATCATCCGCTTATATATAGGATACACAGGCAACTTAACAGAAAGGGTGAGTGAACATTTATTTATATCATTTGAAATATGTACAAGTTTCATAGTGATGTCTTATTCTAAGCTTGTGTATTTTAGATGACACTCTTTTATTACGCCCATTTATTTCTCTTCCTCAACAATCTACTTTTGTGATTTGTCTTCTTTGTTTAATGATTTTTTTTGAGGCATTATACCCCTTGTCATCCGAATTGATTTATATAAAAGGAAGTACCTAAAAAGTTGTACACTTACAGTTAATTTTGTGATTTATAATATTTCCTGAGAAGTTATTCCCCTTTTATGATATCTGTTTACAATGTACTAAGGTCTTGTTTTTAAGTAAGGGGGAAATGGAGATGTACATATAAATCTGTTTTTAGATGCTGGGAACCAGTGTAGAACCTCCAGTTACTGCCCTCTGTCACAGGTCCCTGAATTATCTGGTTCCTGTTAACATGTCCCTGTTTCTCTGTCACAGGTCCCTGAGTTGTCTGGTTCCTGTTAACATGTCCCTCTTTCTCTGTCACAGGTCCCTGAGTTGTCTGGTTCCCGTTAACATGTCCCTGTTTCATTGTCACAGATCCCTGAGCTGTCTGGTTCCTGTTAACATGTCCCTGTTTCTCTGTCACAGGTCCCTGAATTGTCTGGTTCCCGTTAACATGTCCCTGTTTCACTGTCACAGATCCCTGAGTTGTCTGGTTCCTGTTAACATGTCCCTGTTTCTCTGTCACAGATCCCTGAGTTGTCTGCTTCCTGTTAACACGTCCCTGTTTTTATTTTACAGGTCCCTGACTTGTCTGTTTCCTATAAACATGTCTCTGTTTCTATGTCACAAGTCCCTGAATTGACTGGTTACTATTAACGTGCCTCTGTTTCTATGTCACAGGTCCCTGAATTGGCTGGCTCCTGGCTGTTAACACTACTGATACAGTTACCACTCATCTTGCTCCTGACGTTTAATGAGGATGCTATTCTGCTACCACTTGAGCGAGCTGTTCACATTATCGAGGCCCTGTTTGTTGTGTTTGAGTCTGTGTGTGGGTACTTTGCTATCAGGGCAATGGTGAACTATCAGGTGACAAAATTTCACTTGCGTCAATTTACAGACCTGGAGCAGCTTCCAGGGGAGGAAGTGCACTGGCATGATGGCTATGACTCATACCATCAGAACCTCCTGACGTAGTGAAGGAACAGTTGTTTAATCCTGGTGAATATTAAACTTATCCAATACCGACAAGAGAGTACCTAGTTACTACAACAATTATTATGACAGAATCTATGCATTGTACTTTCTGGTCGTATTGTAAATATTTCGTAAAGTGAAAGTAAATATATCTTACATCAACTGATACTGAATGCAAAAATTTGGATTCCGTCCATTATGTGAATGACAATAAAAAAAGAATTGTATTGTGGGTTTTATGAGATGGAAACACAGTCCAACAGTACATATCAAATTATTACCCACACAGATTCAGTTTGTGTTTATGAATTGTAATTAGGATGAAGTTTAAGAAAATATTATGTATTTTCAAGTGTTTATTAGACTGTATGAGGTCTATAGTTACATGATTATCTAAGTTTCCAAATACAAAATTGAAGGTCTTTGTATAAATACAAGGCCATGAATCATGAGTTTTTTATCTGTTGATTATACGCGTCTGGTATGAAAAGTGATGAAATATTTTGAAATTTATCTTAATGGTACGTAACTACTTTCAGAATTACAATTTATATTTATAGTTTGCATTTTGGATTTCCATTAAATCAGTTTTAATCTGGGTTGTATGCACAAGAATCTGAATACATTCCAAGATCACTAATATCAATAATATGACATCATTTGGCACTTTGTTTACCAATGTCACATCAACTCTTGGTACAATTCACTCAGATAGCTATACATAAAGCATTCAGATGAATGTGATTTTCAGAAAGCTATTCCAGTTAAAAAGCATACAGGTAAAAACTATACTTTATTTGACTCAATACATGCATTATACTATTTGAAGAGAATTTCTGAAATGTGAATATTACTTTTTAAGGTCATCAGGTTGTGTATATTGTCACTATGATCATTCAATTTATCTGTCGCCCAGATGTCATTAATGTTGACAATAAATACACACTGCTTACCATTATATAGTTATATACATACCAAATGGTTGTTAAAGGTCAGGTATCACATTCTGTCAAAAAAGAAAATTATTGTCATTCAGGAATAATATGATTATTTATTATTTATTAACTTTTAAGATAACCCATAGATCTGAAATTCACTTGGTTTCTTTCATTATTAAGATTAAATTAATGAGAACACTAGAATGACAATAAGGTTGTGCTTTAATTAAGGTTTTTATAGTGCTACAGAGTGTCTATATAATATTTCAGTGATTATATATTTTGCTAAGCTAATGTCTTATATGTGGTATGAGAAAAAGATGAATGTTTGATGAATGATTGATGATACATGTGAATGTAGATCATAATTTTTTAATAAATATTTATGCAATGTTTGTTGTTTATTAGCTTTTCATCATCAGCTGCTGAGCTATTCAAATCACCCTGCATCCTTTGTCTGTCTGTTTTTATACATCTTTCAAAATTCCGAGAAACATTATACCTTAGGGGTAAATTACATTGTAAAGTCATCCTGATGATGGCTGCATAGTGGTCAAAACATGTTGACGATTACCATACTAATATCTTTCAAAATTTTAGTGGGAGGTATGATGGTTTGGTGTTGTCTATCTATTGTAAACTTTCATTTATCCACAGATCTCCTCCTACAGTTTTCAATCACTATCCCTTTCAAAGCTTTTCAATATGAAGTTGTTTTCCTGAATGGCAGTTTGATTTGACAGTATTTGAAGGAGTTATTGCCCTTTGATGTTTACATAATGTTAATTTTTATTGGAGCTCTCCTGTGTTATTGTTAATTGATCTCTTTCAAATTTCATAGGCTTTATGAATGTGGCCTGGAATTATGTTTTCTGTGACAACATTTCAATTCAGGAGTTATTTCCCTTTTTTATAGCATCAGGCCTCGAATTTAACATTTTTTGTCACTTGCTGAAAACAGCAAATCACCATGTTCAAATAATGTGTTTTGTTTTGTGATTTATAATGTATTACCTTGCTTCATCCAATATGAATCAGCATTAAAGAAGAACTGCTTTGTCCCAATATTTACACTTTGAAAATCAAAACAATTTAATTCTGTGAAATGTTAGGAATAGACAGGCACTCACTGTTTGCATTTCATGAATCCATTTGCTGAAAAAAGCAAGTCAATGTTTTTTCTACTGGCAACTCTTGGATTTCTACTTGCAAACAGCCAGTAAAAAGCCGTAAATTCGAGGCATGAGCATTTTAATGTGACATGGAGATATCCTTCTGTTTTCAACTGATTTTCTTGCATCTTGTTAAACTTTTACAACCATTACTTGCAATTGTGTTTTCCACAATGCCATTGTAATTTTGAAATTGTTTGAAGAGTTATTACCCTTCGTTTGTTCAGTATTTCTGTCTTGTCTGGACATCTCACTCATTTTATAAATGATTTCTTTAAAACTTGGTAGACTTTCAAACCTTGAAATTAAGTTATGTTTTCATGAACAGCATTTTGATCCAACAATATTTCAAAGAGGTAATAGTCTTTGCTTTTTTCAGTGTTTCAGTTTTCCTATTTCTCTTCACTTCATCTTACAAACTTAAGGACGGTTTTCTATCTTGGCATTTCAACACATTATTAATTTAACGTTTCGGTATTTGTATTCATTTTGACATAATTGATCATAAATCTTTCTTTGGTAAGGCATTTATTGTTCAACCCTGTTGTGCACTTCTTGTTGTCCTTTAGAAGCACTGGGTGGCCTTTTAAATTTCACTTGAAGGTTACCCTTGATTGGTACTACTACCTTTTTAAGTGTGGGACTGATCTGAAAAACAAAATGACTGACTGGCAGCCATATTGGATTTTGACTATGAAAAAGCTTGTTATCACCTATTTTTGATGTACTGGATGGGTCACTCTTGGGTTTCACATGTAGTTTCCTCTTTTGTGAATCTGGAACAGATATGATGAAGATAGAAAAAAATCCATTTGTAATATACTTGTGCTATACAGTCATAGCCAGTGACGAGTAAATATCGGCCAATTAATGGTAGTGTCCTTGGAAAGTCCAGAGACAAAAACACATCCTTAGATAGAATAATATACACAACCCTTTGTTGATTCCCTTCCGGTCAGTTGTTTACTGAAATTAAACTATTTCGGTTTAGAAAGAGTAAAATCATGATATAAGAGCCAATGAAGACATCAGAACAACATTCCAATGTTTTATAACCGTATAGATAGGACAATGACTGAACCTGTACCTAGCTTTGTATTTCCTCTGTATATTAGATGTCGTATCCCCACAGACCCCTTTAATGATGCCAACTGGTCAACAGGCTTGTCTTACACACCCCAGAACATCTATTATAAATTTAGGAATATCATATTCCAACATCATATTTCCAATTATAACTGTATACCCAAGGGTATCTGAGACATCGGCTCTAGAACAAAATTATACCCTCTAATGGTATTGTTTTTAAAAAAGTAAATTTATTAAGGAAAACAATTTTACAGCATAATGAATAAACCTGTATTGTATACAGCATCATTCTTTAAGGAATTAACAGTGATCCTAATTACCAAAAGTATGGAATTCAGAAGGGGAACAAACAAATATGGAAGACGGCATCTAGGTATGTAGCATGGTCCGCAATTTACTAATTTACTTAATGGTCAATTAAACTTTATTCCATTTAGAAATTAGCCTATCTCCCCACTTATATGTAAAAACTTCCTACACGAGGTGTGGAACGAACAACACACGACGGGAATAAAATACTCAAAAATGGCGGGAAAAGATACCACTTTACCGGTAAGTGTATCTTGGTACTACTATTCTGGCTGCACTCTCGACAGGTGTAAGTGATGCCCAGTTTCAACCAAAACCAAAGAAAACCTCGTAATGTGTTAGAAATCTCGGTTACAAATCCGAAAACACGACAGGATATACAACACACACTCGTTGACTAGTATTTAATATGGTGTAAACCAGTTTATGTCATTTCATTGTCTTTGCCGGCTTTAGAATAATATACACTAAGATCTTTGTATAGATAAAATATATCTAAAATACATATAGGCTCATACACTAAGTTACATATGTCGGGTTATATGAGCTGAAAAAATTGTTGCTTGCTTCCGCGATTATGCTGGGAAATGTGTTGTCTCATAGCGACAATAAAACAAGAACATGTAGCTAACGAAGAGAAGACATAATCATATTGATGATTTGGCTATGTGATAAAAATATTGATGTTCACCTTGTAGGACAACCTACACATTTGTAAGTAAATAATGAATGATAATAAATATTGAAAGACCGGAAAAAATGTAAAAACGAAAGAAATATTCAAATGTTCAATACGAAAGGGATAATTCTATAGTCAAAATGACCTCATGCGATTTTTTAGAAAAAAAAGTCTAGATTAACAATTCAATATCTAGTTTCTAATCTGAAATCAATATTCACACGACAATACATTTTGTTATCGTAAATCACAAATTCCAGATATCTTTTAGGGTTAAAGGTGCGATATAAAATGCTGTTAAATATTTCCAACAATTAAATGGACACAACACTTGTAAAACGCTGTTTTTAATACGAAATATGTTGAAAGGTGCTGCTATGTAGTTTTTTCATACATGTAATAAAATAATCAGTTTGCTTTTGCGCTTCGTCAACCCGCATTGAATTCATTAATAATATATATGTTGTCTGTATGTACTCACACTGTACCACACAAAATTGTCATATAACCTGGGCACACTAAAAAAACGCCTTTTATGGAGAAGAGATTGTTTCGAGTCTAGGCATTTAGAAAATATTATTATCACTCCGTATAAGAAGTGAGATTCTTTGCAGAATTCATTATTTTTTATTTATTATTATTTTTGTCCAAGTTGAATAACCACTTCTCAGCCATTTTAGATAATTAGAAGCAAGGATTAAAAATTTGAAAATAGGAAAGAACTTCAGTCTTATTCATGGATTTCATAACCTGTGAAAATAAACGGGGAAACAGTCTTAAATAGACGATCGATAAAAAAACTTCAAGATGAATCGTCTGGTCCAAACTGGGAACTATTTTATGGAGAACACATCCCTTCACGGACTGTCACGGGTCGCTGAGTCTAAGTACTGGCTGAAGAAGCAAGTGCGGTGTGTCCTTTTCTTGGGATCACTTGGCATGTGTTTGTTTCAAGTAACTCGTCTTTTTGAGCAGTATTACAAGTAAGTACCTGTATGTATTACTACAAGACAAGTCATTATCTACGTCTTTCGGAAATGATTGCTAATTTATAACTGTTTTAATTCCGTGGAATAGTGACATAGTTTAGAATATACATCTGTAGTTGACATTCTTTCGAAATCATCATATATGACATTAACAGATTTATAGAATGATGCGAGTAGTGCACCTCCCGATCTCGATTTTCACATCTCTTTCGATCACTTTGGATTTTACTCAATCGCTTCCCAGGTTCCAAACTTCAGGACTCCAGCATTACTGTCCAATGTTATTATATGTAAGATTCAAAATTGTATTCATAATCTGATTCTGTTGTATATTATCATAAATTTGTGTGAAATGTCCTGTACATTTGTGTGTGGTAAATGCAGAAGTGGTGGTTCGGTCATCAGTAACAAATACATTAAGAAGCCAGAGAAATATAAATTTTATGTGTGTATATTTGTGTATAAGATGTTTCTAGGGCTGACCATGAACATTATCTATAGGGCACAATTCTCGCCAAAATATCAGATTGCTTAAATATCTGTATATTGGCAGTTTACAGGGAACGGTCAAGGCTGTGACACGGTCTGACCTGTATACTGGTATTTAACTGGGAACACTCAAGTCTGTGACACGGTCTGATCTGTATACTGGTAGTTTACAGGGAACCGTCAGGGCTGTGACACGGTGTGACCTGTATGCTGGTAGTTTACTGGGAACCGTCAAGTCTGTGACACTGCCTTACTTGTATACTGGTAGTTTACAGGGAACCGTCAAGTCTGTGACACTGCCTTACTTGTATACTGGTAGTTTACAGGGAACCGTCAAGTCTGTGACACTGCCTTACTTGTATACTGGTAGTTTACGTGGAACCGTCAAGTCTGTGACACTGCCTTACTTGTATACTGGTAGTTTACAGGGAAACATCAAGTCTGTGACACTGCCTTACTTGTATACTGGTAGTTTACAGGGAACCGCCATGGCTGTGACACTGTCTGACCTGTATGCTGGTAGTTTACAGGGAAACATCAAGTCTGTGACACGGTCTGACCTGTATACTGGTAGTTTACGTGGAACCGTCAAGTCTGT